AATTGTTATCGTAGCTCAAAAAACTCCCAGATTGGAACATTTTAAAAAATCTACGTGATTTCACAATATAGATGTCTGACTTTTCCGGCATACTTTGTCTTCAATAAATGTCTCATAAAATCTCAAAATCAGCTAAATTAATACTTGACAGCAGTTTTTCAATTCTAACTGATGATGGATTTCTTCAGTGTCTATAGAAGTATCAGTGCAGTCCTTCCATCACCTGTTTGCATTGCCTTCCACTTTTATTACTTTCATCTCCTTCTGAACAACAAAAACGGTTCCTTTAGTCTTTGGGGATGTACTTCCCTCTTCACTGTCCTCACTGTGACATTTCAGAACTTTAGTCCACCCCAGTATCATACTTGAGATCTTCCTCCTCAGCTTGCCGTGTCCCAGCGCTACCACCATGGGACTGAATCCCACAAACAGCGAAGCAGAGAAATGGGCTACAGTCAGCAGCCCTTCAGCGTGGTGCCCCCCGTCGTGGTTGTAGTACGTCACCGCAGCAACCTGTAGCGCCCAGCAGACCACAAAGAGCGACACCAGCGACATGATGACGTGAGCTGCCTTACGTTCAGTGGATACATGTTTGTCCAGCTCCCCGTGGGCCCCTCCTGACCCCCCAACTGAGGTAACAGCCCGGATGTGCTTGGCCAGAGCGTGCAACGTGGCCAAGTTGGTGCAAACCATCAGCACCAGCGGCAGAACCTCATTCAGGGCCAGTGAAGAGGAGGCGAAAGCTGAGCCTTGTTCGATGGAGGGGAACTCCCAGATGCAGCCGAGCAGAGGCCTGGTGGTGCAGCTGATCACCATCAGCTCCACGGTGGCGTTGCCGTGAACATGTGTGCTGTACACCAGCGCCGGCACAGAGAAGGCCAGGTTTGCTCCCCACACCAGCCCCAGAACAATCCACACCCGCCGCCTCTCCCTCTGCTGCGCCAGAGGACCAAAGGCCACATGTTGTCGCCTCAGGGTGGTGCAGTGAAAGACACTGAGCGCCAGAGTCACCCAACAACCCACGGCTCGCCACCACACCCACAGCAGCATGAAGACCCTGCACCAGCCCGGAGACAGAGACACGTTCAAGCCCAGGTCGGACACGAAAATAGGCACCGTGCGGAAAAGTGAGGTCAGCAGGTTGGCTAGTGACAGATGCACCAAAATGGTGTCGGACGGAGGAAGTCTCCGAGATGGACTCTGGATGGCTGACCGAAGCACCTGAGAGTAAAAACAACACAAACTGAGAACAACCCGGCCTCACACACTCGTCACCCACTCAGTCCAAAATGTAGTTTTCTTACCACATGGATGACCAGGATGTTCCCCAGGATGCCAGAAAAGACTAAGAGCCCAAACAAAACAGCCTCTACGGTGAGATCCTCTGACATGGCATCACCCTCTGCATGGCGACATAGTTTGCCTTTTCTCTGTGACCAGCATGTGAGAGCGACACATGGCGGCTCTGTGCTGCTGATGGCCCTCACAGCGTTTTATATGTGCACACGCAGACAAACAAAGGCATCTATCACACATGAACACTTCTTTGCTGACTGAACTCAGGGTCAATTTAATCTAACTTGTTGATGCTTTGAGAGTACAAAGGCAGGCATTTTCCACATTTCGGTCCTGCGTCACAGACCAAAGTGCAAATGTAATGATGTCTCAACAACAACCGCATCAACAGGTGTGAGTCGGTATTCATGCAGTCACGTCGCTGATATGGGAATGCATGTTGAAATGGACCACTCATCTGCCCTGTTGGCTTGTTTAAGTTTCAGTTTGTCTGGGTCCATGATGACGGCACACTAAAATCTTCACACAAAAAAAGAAAAGACACAAGGAAGGAAGGGAAGGCCGGCAGCCATAACAGTTTGGCTAAACAGGAACAGACAGAATCAGGTGATCAGTGATTCATACCATGAATTACTGATTTTAAAAAAGATAATCCTATGAAACGTCTCAGCTGAGAACGCTAGCCCTGTTAGCTCAGCGTTTTTCATCTTTTTTAGTCAGCCACTCATACGCTCCCTTGGTACTAATTATTTATTGGGTTGTCAAGTTTATCTCGTGGGACAAGGCGGTTGTTGCTTAGAACAGTCTTAAGTAAGCACTCCTTAATTAAACATACAGAAGAACAGAACATTGAAAAATCCTGATCATGCATGAGTAAGAGATGAAGTGCACGAGATAATTTATCATCAGGAGAGTTTTTTTTTTTAAATTAAAAGACCATCAAAGAACAAAAAATCAAGAAGTGCAAAGTTTTTTATTGTTTTTCATGTCCCTATGTATACCAGTTATCCTCTATTCATGACGATATCGACCAGAGAACACGTGTCTGTGACCTTATTCAGCAGCTGTTTAAGGACATCTGCACAGGGGTCAGTTCGCCTCAAGACCCCGGCTGATGCTGGAGGACAAACTAAATGAAAGCAACAGCTGCACTTTGACCTCCCGTCTCTATGTTATCACCATCAGAAGGGACCAAACAACGTCAGTATCTCACAGTACAACAGTTATATATACTGAGTTTATATTATAGCTCAATACAGCAGAACAACCAAACCCTGTGGAAACCATTTAAACTGCACTGGACTGTTGCGATGAACTCCCTGCACTTGCATGAATCCACACTCCGCATCACGTAAACATTTTATTAAAATGAATTTAAAGCCTTCCATTGTGCACCAACAGCTAACGTCCCCATTGTGGTGGATGACTGCAGGATAAAGGCTGTGAGAGTATCCCTTTGTCTCCCTGTCAGTTTCTACTCCTACTACTCTGTGTGTATTTCAGACGACAACACAAATTCTATTTATAAATGCAAAATGTAAATCCAGCTTTACTAGTGCCACTAGTGTCACTAAATACGACGCAAAGCAAAAATGCAACCGACAGTAAATCATACGGAAAGATGTTGGTTCATGCAGTTCACGATATGCTGTCCCAGCTGGCGTTTTCTAATTCACAACAAACTGACTCACACTGGGAATTATTATTTAGTATTAACATTAAATGCTAAGAATGTCCTTTGACAAATAGACAGTTTTGAGTTAAGTGGAGCTCTGGGCTTTTTACTATTTAAATATTTTATCATTTTTGGTTGCTCTCTGGTCTCATGTCATTTTGTAAAAACAGCCCCTGGACAAAGCAAGCTGAGCATCCCTGATCAGCATATTTCAAACTCCAAACTGAAAATGTCCTTAACACATACATGTATAGGTACACTGCAATAAATTAATATAAAAAATACAGTGGAGTAGTATAAAGTTCAAAACCTAAACTAAAAAAAAATAAATAAATAAAAAACTGTGAAAATAATGGCAAATATTTATAAAATAATTATATCTCTGGGTGAGAGTGAGCTGATTGAAACACAAATTTTCTGGTCAAACGTAAAAAGATGTTTGATGTGAATATTGTTCACAGTTTTGGCCTGTTTTTGTTTTTTGTTTTTTACACAATCAACGTGTAAATTAACACTTTTTTCTTTGATTTTACTGAATATTATCTGTAATTTAACAAAACATGGAACATCTGTATAATAACAGCTAAACAAACACTTCCGTTATTTCTTAATAAAAATCCTTTTTCTTTCAAAATATGGAAAACATCTGTAAAATCATCTATTTGTCCTGAAACAACACAGTAAAAGTGGTGCAAGTTTATGATCAAATGCTTTAAAAGAACAAAGCACCCTTAGTTCCACAGCTGTTTGTATTTATATCCAGATAATTTGAAGATTAAAAAGAATCAATGAATATTTGTAGATTTAAGCATATTAATGACAAACAGAGTCGTAGCTCTCTCATGAAAAAACATCAGAAGACCAAGCAGGTGGTTGTCTTCAGCTCTCCCCTCTGAGAAAATACAACAAAACACCAACAACAGAATTTCATCAGATATGGGATTCCTTCATTTACTATGTTTCAAGAACAGATTTGTGTGAAGGAAGAATCGGGGACATAAACAGTGGTCCTCTGCAGAACCCAACAAGGTAGAAATGTGCTTTTTTTTCCAAGTAAGTGAACTGAAACAGACTATAACCCATTAACTTGATCCCCAACCAAGAACTGGAGTCATTTGGAGGGTGGTGGCATGTTTATTCAATACATGTAATTACTGTTGTGTTGTGAAAACAAACAAACAAAAATAATGTTGCTAAAAAACGAAATTTTAAAAAAAAGTGCCATTTTAATATTTTTTGAGGTGGACATTATTCACAGTTTTGGTCTTTTTTCAGGGTTGATTAGGAAGAAAATTGAATTTACCAGGTGTTATCTGTAGTTCAACAACAAAAAAGGAAAACTGCAAAATAACAGTAGATTGTTCCAAAAATAAATAAATAAAAGAACTATAGCTGATAAAACTTTGACGCACACATTTGGCTGCCTGGATGCCTCAAGTTCAAAAATAACAAGAAAGTGAAAAGGGCGAGATCTTTAAAAACAAAAAGGTGTTTGGAGCGTTGCTTTGCTTGTTGTTTGCGCAGGTAGACACAAATAGCAGGTGTGATGCGGCTGCGGAGCGGAGCAGGTGAGCAGCCAGGTGGGCAGCAGGTGGGTTCAGAAGCCTCCATCCAGCGGCGCTCTGAAGACTCCGCTGCTTGTTCTCCGTCACTGACAGACACCTGAAGCGCTGCGTGGGACGATGACTCACGAACCGACTGCTGATGACTACAAATACCTATTTTGTGCACGCAACCCACGCGCCCCCAGCGCTCCGCGGCGCGCGCCCCTCCACGTGCACTCTCTCTCTCTCTCTCTCTCTCTCTCTCTCCCTCGCGCTCTCAGCGGGCATCAAAGCCGCTACGTCAGGCCAGACAGGAAGGAGAAAGCCAGTCTGATGGCACGACAGCCGGCTCCTCTGCTCCCACCGAAACCAGTAAGTGATTTTCGTGAATGCGCCGGGAGCCGGGAGCTGCTCTATCAGCGCGTGGCCTCCGTTAACTGCGTCCTGCGCGTGTCTCCTACACGCAAGGTCACAGTGGGAGCCGCCGTTGAAGGGACAGCTGCGTGATTCCTTGTTGTTTCTGTCGCAGATGCCCGGCTGCCCGCTGCTCTCCTCTCGCCCATGGCCCAGCTGCCCTGCTGCTTCGCTCGGATTTCGTCGTGTGCGCTGAAGCGGAGCTGATCTTATGGCAGACAGCAGCCCGCCCTGCTCCACCGCCCATCTGATCCACTGTGAGACGGAATAACTCGACGAGAGAAAAGTGAGATGAAAGCCCAACAACGAGCATCCCTGCTCGCCTTGTCGGCACTCCTGCTCTGCACATTACATCAGACAGCTGGGGCTCATGGCAGCAGCTCATCATCACTGTCATCCTCCTCCTCCTCCTCCTCCTCATCATCATCATCCTCAGCATCAGAGGAGGCAGGCAGGGATAATGTGGCCCCGAACTGGCTCCGGCAGAACAACATCAGCTCCAGCTACGGCAACCACAGCCATCAAAGTAGGCCAAAGCGTAAAGAGGCACCAGGCCACGGGAGCAGCTTCAACACCAGCAGAGGCAATAACACCAGTGTGATGTCTGAGAGGAGCGGCAGGGCACCGAGCTGGAGCCCGGAGGAGGACGGGCCGTCCCCGGTGTGCGCCTACCGAGTGATCGAGGGGGGCATCGGGGGGCAGCTGTGCTTTCGACGCACGCTGTTTGGGTACAAGTGCCATGTGGCGGACTGCAGGACAGCGGTGTCTGTGGGCAGCCTGGTGGCAAACATCCTCATCAATGGCAGTGTACTGTTACAGTGGACCCACGAGGGACAGTCCACGGTGCCCGACGATGGAACGACTAAAGAGAGCGCAGCTGCTCGGACGCGCAGCGACGATCCGGGGACGAATTCAACGAACGAGGAACCTCTCCGGTCAAACACTGTTTTCGGCGGCCGGCGGCACCGACGCGGAGGCTACGAGCTGAGCTGCTGGTGGAACGGCAGCTACACTCAGTTCGAGTGCGCCGGTGTCCATCTTGGATCGGGCTGCAGGGACTTTCTGCTGGCCGAGCTGCATGAGAACATCCCGTACCGCATCTGCCTGCGCTCCCTGGGCCGCTCCGAGCCGGCCAAGAGAGCGGAGCAGCGGCGGGACTGCGTGGAGTTCACGCTGCCGCCGTCTGGGATGCAGGACATCGTGATCGCCATGACAACGGTGGGGGGAGCTATCTGCGTGATGCTGGTCATCATTTGTCTGCTGGTGGCGTATATCACAGAGAACATCATGAGCCCCACGACGCAGCACGCTTACTCCTACCGCACTCACTCCCGGCACTGATGCGCTGCTCACACGTCCACTGGCGCACATCTAACACCCACCACGGCCATATCTAACCCCACCGTCATCAGGCACTCACTTGTTTTCAGTATGATCAACCCGTCCTGTTAAACTGAAGCACAATCTACTGTGGCTCTGCAAATAACATGCCTTGTCAACCTCTGCGAGGATGCACTGAACCAAACTTACTGATTGAGTTAATACAGTAGTTTACTGTGTTGTTTTTTCTTTCTTTAAGGTTGTCTGTGATTGAATCCGTCAATCTGTAACCAGGCAGCGTTTACTACAGCAATACAAATACTGAGATGGCTTCGGGGACATTAGAACCAACACAGTTTTGCTAAACTTGCAACCAGGAAGATAAAAGTTTACTGAATCCACATGACTAAACCATCCCACCTGTAGTTTTGCTTTCTAAGTCTGCATACGGTTTGTGTCTTTACCATTTTGTGAAGGGCAATACAATCTGGTGTACAATCTCCAAATGCTGTGCCAAACATCTTGAGTTAGAATGCCTTTATGTCCTGCTGTCAGTGAATAAAGTACCATGAGGTCATTTTTAATACTTTACAGCTGTCCTCGTTCTTGTCTTTGTGTGCGAGTGTGTATAATAAAAGACAGGAATCCAAAATATATGTATAAACACAACCTCTTACAAGCTGTGGGATGAAAAGCTTGTTGCAGCAAATGAAAACAAGGTTTGAGTTTCTCATGTGCTTATATGAGCATTTTCTTTTTGGATGGTATAACAAAAATATATATGACACAGTATTTCACAGTAAATTTCCTGGAAAATAAACTGAGGAACAGTTTGCAGGTTATGTGTAAAATAATCCAACAGATTGTTTGTGTTCTGGATCGTCAAATATACCTGAAGAATGTAGAGAGTTTGTCACGCTGATGCAAAAATGCAGACTGAACGGTGAATAGTCAATCATTAAACTGGTTTCATCTTAGAAAGAGAAAATGTGTCCTGTGAGGAGGATACAAGCAAAACGTAACGTCATAAAACAAAAGGAAAAAAAGGGAACTGCCATTTAGTTCAGTGTTCTGCATGTTTGTTTGCTTCGCTACTCTTCTGACATCTTAGATTACTTTAGTGACGAAAACCCTCCTACACTGTAAAACTCAAAAATACATCAACACCAAGAAAAAACAACACAATGACCCGGAGACTCAAGGACATAAGGTTGATCTACAAACTGCTATTGCCTCGTAGAGAGCACAAAATAAAATAAAATAGAATAAAACGAGTTACATCCATGCATATCTTAAAGAGCAGGACAATCATATCTGCACAATTTATGTGTAAACAAATTCTAATTTTTTTGCCAAACAGGTGTTACTCTTCTGAAATTTGTTTGTGAATTAAGCAGTGATTGACAGATATGTTTTTTTAAAGGTCAGTTCTATAGTCCTCATAATTATATTTAGGAGTAATCATGAGACCCAAAGACTAATACCCCGTATGCTTAGTACAGAAATTCAGAAATTGTAAAAGCAGTGGACATTTTTTTTAAACTGCTACATCAATACAAATAAAAGCCATGATAATCGATGTTGATGGATTAATTAACACAAAAGGCAGAAGCATAAAATAAGCACAACACAGTCCAAAGCAGTCCTGATCATTTAACAAGTCATACTTTGAAGAGCTTCGGTGATCTCAGGGTGCGAAAGCAAAGCATTGGTGCAGTTTTGTCAGTCACCTTTCAGCCACAACCCTATTCTGGTTATTGTTGTTATTCATTTGGGGTGTTGTGTTCTTGTATTGTGGGTTTCCCCTTGATGACTCTTGGTTACATATGATTGTCGCGCCGTAAATCAGCATGAATGAGACTAATTAAAAAGCACACAGTTTGCAAACCAAGGCTGCAGCTGCCCTGCACTCACTGTGGTATTAATATAGGCCATGGGCTGCGCAGAGCAAGAATGTGGGACGACCTCTTTTTGCCTGGAGCACAGTGTTCCACATTTTGTATTCATCGTACTCTGAAATAACTGAAAAAAAATGAGCAATTAGGAGGTTTAAATAAAAAGCGTTTGAGCAGGGCATATGCCCCGAGTGTTTAAAGATCTTAACCGCCCCTCTGGGTGGAGACGTTAGATGAACACAGGACTGTTCGGACTAATAAAGGGAAAATACGGCATAAGGCTTGTGGGGTTTTTTTTTCCACTTTAAGCACTTTGTCCTTACTTAGAGTTTGAAGTTGCAGAACAGGCTGAGTAGTGGAAAAATGGGGCATGTGGCAAATTGGGACAGTGAAGCTCTGCAGTGAGTCCCTGTTAGAATAGAATAGAATAGAATAGAATAGAATAGAATAGAATAGAATAGAATAGAATAGAATACTTTTTTATAGAAAGTACAAGAAAATACCAGTAATTAAGTAATATGCATCCTGGGGTCACAGCAGGTCCAAGGCCCACCGTCTCCGGTTGGGCCGTCCACATACTGGCTGAATGTGGGGAGAGCGGTAGAGAGGGATGCATGATTAAAGTCTCCTGAGATCAGAGACTGAGGGTGTGATGTTTACAGCTGGGACGCTGAACTATGGATGAGTTCACAGGCTGCAGCAGCATCAGCCGAGGGGGGGATGGAAACTGCAACGTGTGAAAAACTCCCTCGGCAGGTAAAACAGCCGCAAACCAACCACCAGCAGTTCAACATCCTTCATGCGGCGCTGCTCTGACGTGCCCACAGCATCACACCATCTCTCATTCACATACATGTTCAAGGAACACATACAACAGCCCAAAACCAATGTGAATGTCTTAAGTTCATAACATAAAAGTGGAACATTTGACACTTGATCCCACAATCACAGAGGTCATTGAACTGACATATCGTTCTGACATTGCAACTGTTAAGCTTATAAAAATCTGAAAACAATTATTCACTGCTTGATTTCAATTTATTTGGTAATAGAATTTAATTATGCATCAAAATTAGTAGGAATCAATTCTGTACTCCTTTTGCTTTTTTTTTTTTTTAATATGCAAATTGTATGAGTGTCTTATTGTGCACTGTAAAATGGGACGCCTTCATACTGTCAACAGTCATTTCCACAAGAAAACTCTTTAGGAGTATTACAGCATATATGTTGTCTTAAAATAAATCAGATTTCTGAATTGGATCAATATAGCAATATAATTGATCTTAATTATGCTATTAGATAGCTTGTTGGACACAAGTTATAGCCATGCTTCAGCTCCCCTACTTAGAAGCATTATCACAACAATAAAAGCTTTAGGAAGCTATTTGTATTATTTTGACTTTTTATTTTGCTTTTTTTTTTTTTTTTTTACATGTATATAACCATTTAAATAAATATTCAATATAGGAACATCAAGAAGTCAAGGAATAAGTCAGCCTGTGTGGTGGCCATGGTAAAATAATAGTAATAATAATAATTATAAGAAGAAGAAGAAGAAGAAGAGGAAGAAGAAGAAGAAGAAGAAGAAGAAGAAGAAGAAGAAGAAGAAATGTAGTTTGTAAATCCCTGTTTGAAGAAAAAAACAAAACAAAAAAAAAACAGAGGGGCAAAAAGAAGAAGCTTAGTTATAATAACTGCATCAAGTTGGGAGCTGAAGCCCTGGAATAATTCCATCTACTTCTCCAGAAAGCTTCCAGAAGGTGCTCCAGCTGCCCAGCTCTCTCTAGATGTGGTGTTTGTGCTCAGACTTCAGCAGCAGCAGCATCAGGACGGGCTCCACATGGTCCTGACGTGTGGCCCTGTTGGTGATTAATGCTCTTCTGCCCTCTTTAACCGTAATTAAGACGAAAAGCGTATTTTTCACGGCGTGTTTGTTGTTGTTGTTGTTGTTGTTTACTGACGTCACACTTACGTCGCCACATTTTTGACGCGCTGAGGCTGAAGCTCCGCCCCCAAACTGACATCACCTGATAAAGCCGTATTCAGCGCACGGGGCTCCGCCATTTTAACTTCCTGCTTCCAAAGAAGACGAGCCCATCGCAGTGTTTGTACTCGAAACGCTTTAACGTTAACTTTAACGTAGGGGTTTGTCTTGTTTACTTTTCTTACAGGGATCAACGTAAGCACCTCGTACTAGTTTCTGACAGCCTGTTTCGGGTAGTTTCAGCCGGAGAGTCGCAATGCCGAGCCACCCGCTGCGTGTAGCGGTTGTGTGCTCGAGCAACCAGAACCGCAGTATGGAAGCGCACAATATCCTCAGGTAAAGACGAGCCGCCGGGAAGAGGAGACGAGCAAAGCCACCACACAAAGTGAACGAAATCTGTGCGGTATTTGCGGGCCGGTCTGTCGACGCGGTGACAGGCAGCCCGTCGGGCCTCATCGCACTTTAACAATGGACTCAGCGCTCAGTGTCGCTCCGCGGCCGAGGCGCGCCTTTAGCGCAGCTCTCCGGTTAGGGGACAGGCTTCATGGCTGCCTGCAGTGATGAACCGCAGCTGGTTTGCTGTCAAACTTATTCAGGGATTTCAAACCAAGGCCCAAGTTGTTGGGTAGTTTTTTTTTTCTTCCTCCCCCACATGTTGACAAGAGCGCCCCCCTGTAGGAACTATACCGGAAGAGAGAGACTGCAGCTGGGCGGCTCATCGGCTCAGACCGCTCAGACGTCACACAGATTTAGTCGTTCTTCACCCACAGATGTGCTGTCTGTGTGGTTCTCATTTCAGAACGGTTCTTCAGCTGAGCTGGACTGAGGAGGAATAAACGGGTCTCAGTTATGATAGTCTCTTACTGGGGGGTCCTCTTTAGACAAAGGTGACAAATGGTCACCTGTGTGGGCAACTAAAATAAAACAAAGCATTTACTTCTATGGGACTTTTTTTATGTTGGTTATTTAGGTGTCTAATGTTGGTGGTGATTTAGACAGAATCAGACGAGTCCTCACAGACACGGAAACACTGATTATTCTGCTTGTATTTCAAGAACTTTTTTTTTTTGTAAAGTTGTTCCATAATTTATTCTCTTGTCTTCTCCTTTTTGCAGCAAACGTGGATTTGAAGTGCGTTCATTTGGGACAGGGTCTCATGTGAAGCTACCCGGTCCTGCCCCGGATAAGCCAAATGTGTATGACTTCAAAACGACTTATGAACAGATGTACAACGACTTGGTCCGCAAGGACAAGGAACTGTATCCCCTACTCACTCACCTATTCCTCACCCACTCACATGCACATATAGTAGAAGCGAGATAGTAAACATGCCCGTGTTCGTGTGTGTTGGTTTGATGGGACTCTCTCTGGGGGTTCGTGCAAGTGGTGTCGCTGGAAGAGCACGACTGATGGGAGTGCATCGATAGGTAAATCACATGCAGGGATCTAAACATGTGTGACAGAGACAGTGTCTATTAAACCTGTAAAACACAGGGTGGACAAACACCTTGCAATACAGCAGCTGTGCAACAGTAAGTGCAATTTTGTGAAGATTTTTTTTTTTTTTTTTTTTGCAATACAGCAGCTGTGCAACAGTAAGTGCAATTTTGTGAAGATTTTTTTTTTTTTTTGCTGAGACCATCAAATTGAAGTCTGTAGTCGCCTCTGAGTGTCTAGCTTGTGTCTGACAGGGTTGTCCTGTTGCCTCTGTAGCTCCCTGCTCATACAGCTTCCCTGTGGTTTTCAGTGTTTTCTCTTTTTTTAAAGTAGAATTTTTTGCAGTTTGAGTTTTTTTTCTTCTGGTGTTCAACCTAATCTGGCTCATTTGTCTTCTGAAGTTGACAGAGTTGCTGGTGCCTAAATTATTAACATTGCAGAACCTGGTAAAGGTGGAAATATCAAGCAACAGTAGAAGAACGCTATTAGCAGAGATGCAGAGTCCTCGTACACTGGATATGAGTGACTAAAACACATGTAAATACAACAAACAGAGTGAGGACAGCGTTCCTAAATGTCATGTACATTAAACCATAAATAGAGTAGGTTATCTCGTGGCTACTGTTTGACTGAGGTGTTGTTGCCCAGAGATGACCAGTAACAACTAACCATTAGGAGGTGACTCTGAGACCTTAGAACCTTGAACCGCATCACAAAATCCTGTCATGAGCCAGAACAAGAAAAATGCAACAGTGCATGGTTGCTGCACTTTCAGTGTATACGCTAAAATATCTCAATCAGACAGATCGCTCTTTGGCAGTGTTTTATTTTTAATTTTAAAGTCCAAATCACGTCTTTATCATCTTATGCAGCCTAATCCTAAACCTGCTCTCCTGGTTGATGGATTTCAGCCTTTTTTTATTCCTGGAATGACTTTAGTTTTTCTTCAGTGTTTTTTCTTCTTTTTTTTAGGAGCAGGCTAAATATAGGGCAGCTCCTTAAGCATGTCTTGAGTCATTCTGGTTTACAGGCCTCAAGTGAACATCTAGACCCAAAAGTAGGACAGGACCAGGTTTGACTTGCTGTATTGCAGGGTTGTTTTTTGCCACCTGACGGTAAGTTGAGGTGATGTTTGTCTTCCTACATGTCAGGTGTGACGACGCTGTGCTGTAAATATCATGTGTTATGAATACAAGGAACACGGACTCCTGAAAAACCAAACTGTGTAGTACTTTCTGTTACTTTGCATGAGTCTTCTTATAGTGCTCTATGACTGACAATGACAACATAGGGGATGGTACTTTTTTTTTTTTCTCTGCTTGGCACTTCCCAGCAAAATGACCAGTGCAGTGGCAGAGCTTTAGAAACATGAAGGAATCAGAAGTTCTGGTATAAAAGCTGTATCAACTTGACAGTATCAGAGTGACTTGTTGATAATATTAAAACTTTGTTGAGTGGATGAATTGCTGTCTAAGGTTAAGTTATTGCCCTGAAAATCAATTTTTCTATCCACATTTTTTTTTTTTTTAAACCTGACCAACCACTAATGACTAGTTTTCACCACTAGAGGGTGCTACAGTTCTGTCCTTCACACTGACACTCCTCAAACGTGTATTTGCTTGGCTATATGTGACTTGACTGAGATGCAGTTGAACAAATGCAAACAGAAACGCACCCTCTTGCTGAGCCCAGTGAGTTCTGTCGAACCAGGCGTTGATTGAAGTCCTGCCTCTGACTGTGTGATCCGTGTGTTGTGTTACCTTGGCTTCCCTTCTTGCTCCCGCTGTATTCCTTGACCTCATCACTCTTCAGATACACACAGAACGGCATCCTGCACATGCTGGACCGCAACAAGCGCATCAAATCAAAGCCCGAGCGCTTCCAAAACTGCAAGGAGAAGTTCGACCTGGTCATCACCTGTGAAGAGAGAGTCTATGACCAAGTGCTGGAGGGTGAGGATTCTCATAAAACTCACTGAAGCGAGACATGAACCTTTTGCACACTTGAATAATATAATTTTTATTTTTTTGTGGGCATAAACATGTTTACACTGCCTCCCCAACGCTATGCATGAAGCAAAAGTTTACTTGAACACTTCTAATTGTGTCACCTTGTCTTTTATCTGTTGCTGCTCCCCAGATCTGAATTCCAGAGAGCAGGAGACTCTACAGCCTGTGCACGTAATCAATGTAGACATTCAGGACAACCATGAGGAAGCCACGCTGGGCGCCTTCCTTATCTGTGAGCTGTGTCAATGTGTGAGTGTCTCCTTACCTCGGTTTTTCAAACGCTATGAAACAGACACAATGGACTGAGTCGTTTAAAGCATTCAGCTTTTTAATATTAAAATGATGCATTTGAATCTTAGTGGCTTAATGATAATGAAACAGCCTTTAGGTGCTTTTCATCTGCAACACAACAGGTTTCTAAAATGAGAAATTCAGTCGTCGCCTAATGACTTTACTGCAATAAATTGTTGGTTAATTTTACATCATTGGTGAAAATAAGCTGTGTTGAAGCACAGGCTGTGTGTGACGTGCTTCCCTCTCTGCCCCTGCAGATCCAGCACACCGACGACATGGAGAATGAAATCGATGAGCTCCTACAAGAGTTCGAGGAGAAGAGCAACAGGCCTTTTCTTCACACTGTCTGCTTCTACTGATACACAAGAGAAACCTGCAATAAACACAGACCGAGATCACAAGCAATCAATCAAGAGCATATGGACATGCACGCTTCATACTCCTCAGTCATCTACAACACAGTGCATACGTGTTGTGTGCCTGCATACACACAAACACACACAGACACACACATACACACACAGAGCTTTGGTTCAGGACCTTACAGGTGGCTGCTGTTGGAGATACTGGTTATTATGGGTTTTTTCCTCTGTACAGAGGATGAACTCGCTGCTCTCACTCTGCCTTTATTCCTCCAGGTCAAGGTCAGGCCAAGGTCCTTCCCCCATCTCAGTCCAATGAAATCACTCAACCATGTCTCCTCAGGGAGAACCATAACACCCACACCCCAGGTTCAACAACTCCTCCACAAGTCCCTCTCATTTTTGTTCAATACAGCATATTTATGCAGATTCTTTTTGTTTTGTTTTTTTTCTCCAGATGATATATAATCGTAATTCATTTAAGCATATACGTCAGATTTTAATTGCTGACCTGGGACAGTGTAAATGTGTTTACACGCATAGGAGGACAATTGATTGAAATGTATGCGTGTTTTTGTGCGACTTTGTGCTGTAGCTTAGTTAGGTTAAGTTAAAAAGTTCAAATGGGTTCTGGTAATGCTGTCATTCAGGGCATAGTATTTTTTTTTTCTTTTATAAATGTTAAATAATTGAAACATTGTAATTATTTTCAAACTGAGTGCCTGACTTTTCTGTATGTACATATGAATTACTAAAGAAAGAAACATCTCTAAGAAACATTTCATGACTCTTTATTGGTTTTAGTTCATGGTGGGTTCATTTAAAAAAAAAAAAAAAAAAAACAACTTTAATTGAATATGTGTGCTGTTGGACTAAATATTACCATCAATTCAATCAGTTCGGCTACTAATGGCTGTCAGGATGACACCTGCTTGTGGGCCTGTTGTAATCCTCTGTGGACCAGAACAGGTCCTAGTTTGAGTACTACAGATATTATAACAGGTGAGATAGACACAAAAATATGCAAACCATGACCTCAGTTCTGCTTTGCTTGAACAGTAATCACTGCCCTTCTTCATTTTGTGGTTTATTGACAAGAAATGTGTACATGACAGACGTGTGCTCAATAAAGGTTGATCATGCAAAAGCAGAGCATGGATTTGCATTCTGGTTGAGTCTGTCCCTTATCCGTCTGTTGCAGGGGAAACATCCTGTTCTGTCAGATTCCTCCGTCCTTTCTCCTATAACTCATCTGTTGTTGCTTCTGTTGCCTCTTGACCTCTTCTTTGTTCCACCGGTCGCTGCAGCCAACAAACCTATCACGTTGTTCCATATGAGGGCGCCCTGTCAGCGGTGGGTTCTGAAGAAAACCACTTTGGAAGTGGACTGTTCTTGGTGAGGGCTGCAGGGTGGCGCAGTTGGTAGCACTGTTGCCTCGCAGCAAGAAGGTCGCCGGTTCGCGCACCGGAATCTTTCTGCACAGAGTTTGCATGTTCTCCCCGTGCAGCGTGGGTTCTCTCCAGGTTCTCCGGCTTCCTCCCACAGTCCAGAAACATGTTGAGGTTAATTGGTGATTCTAAATTGTCCGTAGGTGTGAATGTGAGTGTGCTTGGTCTCTAAGTGTGGCCCTGTGATAGACTGGTTACCTGTCCAGGTGAACCTGCCTTCACCCTGAGTCAGCTGGGATAGACTCCAGCCCCCCCGCAACCCTAGTGAGGATTAAGCGGTGCATAGATAATGGATGGATGTTCTTGGTGATCATCCTCGGCCTCTTGCTGTTGCTCAACAGTGTCAAGTATTCCAAGATCTGGAAGGCAACACGGCTCCAGAGTGAGTAACGTGCCATGTGAAACTTCAGGTTTACGTCATCTGTAGATAATTACAACTATTTTATTTGCAAAGAACGATTACGTCAAATGTTGTTAACAAACTCGACCATATAACGCGCACAAAACGTCATCTGCAGATTGAGTCTTAACTACATATTTCTGTTAATCCACTTTCCAGATTTGAGAACCCACTTTCCCCGTCTTTTTTTTTCCCCCTAGATATTCGTCTCTGGTCAAGGATGCTTAAATTAAGCACTATGAATGTGTTAAGAAGGCTACTTCCAGAAGAAACACACGGCAGACCAGCCAGTATGTACGTGTCCTGAAAGCTGCTGACACCTAAATGATTAAAAAAAAAGAAGTGCATTCAATTCAACAGTGACTGTGTGTGTGCTGTTTTCTGGCTAATAATCAACGCCTAGTTGAAAGATAGTATTGATGAAGACATTATTAGCAACAGGGAACCAAAAGAAAAATACAGTCAAAGGATGAACAGTGGACGTATATTTTTAGATACTCACGCCGTCTCAGGCATGTCTTTTGTAGTCACAGTTGTCATGTCTTCATCTGCGATACCTCTTTCCGTGCATTCTTCTTTCTTTGCCAAAACACGATGCTTCCATTACCCATACTGCAACTTGATTTCAGACGCTTAATGGGATTCAGGTACGCCGGCTAACGCAGCCTCAATCTGCGGTCTCAGATGAGCGTCAGTGGTCTGGTAAGCTCATCTCTTACCAACTTCTCTTGGTGAGTTAAATTCTAACATTTTTTTATTATAGAAAGACACTCAAATGGATCCAACGATTCCCTTTGATCGAGTACTTTGACAGTTTTCCCTCCCAGACTGAAGGGATTCACGCTGCTTGCTCTGGTCTTTATACTTCATAAGACCTGTAAACATGTTTTGAGACGTGGCAAATGGTCACAGAACCTCAAGTCTTTATTACCGTCACATTTTCCATTATGTCGTGCAATGATTTATTTTTTTAATCAAGCGGGGTTAAATAGATCACCATTATTATCTATGTATATATAAACCTTACTCTCCTAATCAGGGCTTCCATCTATTCCAAACCAAGGACAGCATCATGCCCTTGACTTTGCTTTTTACCAGAAGCTCCCTCCAGGACGCAGCCATTACTGTGAAATATTGAAATCCCCCAGTGGGTTCCTATAGGTCAGGATCACTGCCTCACCCAGTCCTCACCCTTCTCTCTGCTCACACCCCTGCTGTTACGCATTGTGCTGCTCGACCCTCTCTGCCTTCGAAACCATATGCAACACTTGACAATGTCATCGCGAGGCCTGAGCTCTTTAAACGCATCCGTGTTTGAGTAGCGTGTTCTGGGGACAGACCGGTAGATTTAATGCCACTGTTCATTTCAGAAGTTCTCCGATAGAAATGATCATTTGTGAGTAAGCTCAGAATCTTTACTTTTTATGAAAACATGAATCCATTTAATTATTTCAGACATTCCACTTTGCACAACATTAATAGTGTAATTACAGACTCAGCGTCCGGTTTCCGTGTGAAGTACACTTTTACAATGTATACATTATATATTAAAATTAAACAGTCCCAGGCGTCATTTGTGTTTTGAAATGTTAACTTGGTTATCCTCGTCAACACTGAACTCGTTTGTCATGAGGACAGTCCAGCAGGCTATTAGACATACTCTGACAGACCAGTTAAAGGGACAGGACACTAATAATTCTTAATCCAGACATATTGGACAAACCTACAGCTCAAACTGGAGTTCCGTCCTTTGGAGGAGAGGATCCAGTCTTGTCTTCTTTTCCCATCTTGCCCTCGCTGTCAGTGGAGGCAGCAGGTTGGCCTAAACTCTCGGTTGTTGGCGTAGCTTCCGCTTTGGCAGCATCTTCAATGTCCTGTTCAGCTGGGGCGGCACTTTTGCCCTCCGCTGACTGGTCTGATGAAGGTGGTATACTTTCACCTTCTTGTTTCGTATTTACCTCAAGGACCGGAGCGATCACCTCCTCGGCCTGAGGTGCCTCGCTGAGGGGCAGAGTAAAGCCCATTTTCCCTCCGCTGCCCGCCACCCCGGCTGGCGGAGGAGTGAGGCTCTTTGCCTGAGCCTCCTCGTCTCCACGCAGCCAGTCCATCTTCTGAAGGTGCTGCTTGACAGCGTCGTCCACCCGAGCATCAATCATAGCCTCTGTCAGGACACCATCTTCAGAGGAATATGCTGCCGCCTACAAGAAAACACGTTTTAAAGCACACACTTCACAAAAATAAAAAAAAGTCTTGTAGCATTTTAAAGAAAAAAAAAAACATTGTGAAGTTAAGATTAACGAGAAACGTACCTGCCACGCCACACCCAGCTTGGAGATCTCTCTGCCTGACATGCCATCTGTCCGCTTTGCTATTTCAGAGCACTTTTTGCCGTAGTCAAACTGTGCCAGCTTCATCCTCCTTTACACACAGAAAGCAGAAACATGTATGAGAGGGGATAAAGTAAATGATCTGCTAGTCTCAAATCAGTTTGACTTCATTGTGCCTCATCGCCTCCATGTTGCTCAGCATGGCAGCAAACACTTCACATGCCCAGCAGAGCCTGAATCTAATCCTTTCAATCAAGAATCACTAATAAATGAATGGATACTACAACCTGCCAAAGAAAAAAGAAAAAAACACTAAAACAATCACTGTCCATGTGATGGAGCAGGCCTGGCGACCTGTATAGCGTTACTCGTTTCAGTGAGTGTTCCCTGGTGTGCTGTGGTTTTGGGGTTGTGCCCCGTGCTAACAGCTGTGGTGGGTCGGTACTCACTGCCTCCCTCCAGTGGCCGGCTCCAGCACGTATTTGTCAAAGTACAACCGCACCAGCCGCTCCCTCTCCTCAGGACCCGGCAGAGCAAAATTCACTATTTCATCTATACGGTCGTTTATGGCCCAGTCGAACTGCTCCGGCTGGTTACTGGCCAACACCATCATAAACCTGCAGAGTTAAAGAAAACAAAAATCAATGTACTGGAAAAGGAGTTAAATAGGTTTAGGTGTCAGTGAATGACTGACTGAATGATTATTGTTGTTGTTGTGTGGAATATATGTTATATTGATTTAAAAAAAAAAAAAGAGAAAGTGAGCTTTTACAAGATTGAATTTCCCTTCTGGGATAAATAAAGTATTTTTCATTCATTTCATTTCATTTCAATATGAAAAGGCTGAGGTTTAGGTTATGAATATGGAATGTAAATGAATTCTTACTTGTTGCTCTGTTCTCCGGTACGATACAAGAACGCATTCAAAGTGGCTCTGAGGTCTTCGCTGATCTTCTCCTGCAAAAAAAAAACCCAAGAGGGAAACAATGAAGGGTCACTTTCTTGATGTCAGAGTCTCGGAGTGAAAGGAGGAATCTTCTGAGGTTTTCATGTAATGAAATATACACAGACTTACGGTGGATCTCTTGCGGAGGAAAGCATCAGCTTCATCGACAAACAGCAGCAGGCTGTAGCGGGATACAGGACAGATATAAGTACCGGTTCATATGTCTGGAGTTGACAGAGTTGTTTGTTGCACATTATCCGAGTCTCCATTTAACATGAATGTTATTTTAGTGGCGTACCCGCGTCGACTTGTGTTGGCCCAGTCAAAGACTTTGTGCATGGCAGTCACACCGTCACGACCCATGGGTGCTACATCTCCACCTGTCATAATGGCGTAGTCCATCCCAGAATGCATTGCCAGCTTCTACTCAACACAAATAGAAATCCTCCACGTGTTAGACACAACGTTGTCTTCTATTCATCTAAATGTCAACATCTCGCCGCCCTGAGACGTACCTTAGCAAACAGCGTTTTGCCCGTCCCTGGAGGACCGTACATGAGGATGTTCCTGTACAGGCCGTTGTTCTGCCTCGTGTTTCTTGTTGCTATGGCAATGTCACGCACTCGCTCTTCCAAGGAAGGCTGAGAGATGGAAAAATGCATGTGATTATAAAACTCATTTGTACAAAAAAAAAAAAAAAAGTTTTCTGGGCAATTTGACGCTTGACATTCACTTACACTGAGCACAACTCCTTCAAGGGCATCCTGGGGTTTACTCTTCAGCCGTTTGGCCGTCTGCACAGTTCAGAAGAGTGAAAAAAATGTGGTTATCACTTTATACTGTGCAACTCACAGAATGTAAAAAGGATCAGTACATGATTAGCTACCTTGACCGGATGCTTGATCGCCTCTCCTACAGTGAATCGGGACGTCTCCCGTACTAAAGATGGCTTCCCAAGCCTGGCCTCAATGTACCGTCCTGCCACCGCTGTTGCGTTTCGCGCTGAATACACTCCGACAGCTAACAGGGTCAGTCCCGCTACCTGGTGGCCGGAGAGGACAGCAACATCAAACTGATAGCCTGAGCATTTCAATAAAAATGTGTCTGCAGAGAAGATACAAGGCAGAAAGTGGCGACTTAAAGAGTCCTGAATAGAAATCTATGGGAGAATTCTGTGATGCTTAAAATGGCAGCTGGATGACGAAAACCCCTCTCTGTAAAGACACACGTCTTTGGGGACTTTTCCACTCGACTAATTGTAATTTCTGAGAACTTATCATCTGACTTTAGAGAAATACAGCAAATGAAAACATACACAGCTCCTATTATGTATGTTTGGTATACTCATTCACTGAAGTGATTGGCGATGGAAACTCACAGTGGCTGTAACTTTGTCCCAGTCTGACACAAAGGCCCTGAAACCTTCTCCAAACACAGCACCTGCAGTCCTGAAAGCAAATACATGTCAACTGTCAGCACGCCCTGAAGGCACTGATAAGGCACAACGGAGGATTAACCAGTTCCTTCACATGCAAAACTGCCCATTTCTGTGTTACATGGATGAGTGATGGTGACCTCATTTAAAACATCCGTTCTAGCATCATGCAAGAAGCCAAGAACCACCAACACTCCCCATCCAATCATCACAAACAGCAGAGAGCAGGATGACTTACTTTATGGACTCCAGCACAGTTTGTCTGTGTTCTGCAGCCTTCAGACGGATCTGCTCTCGGATTATATCGGCATTTTCCCTCTCCACGCGAGCTCGAGCTTTCGTCTCTGCCTCGATACGCAGGAGCTCGTTCTTGTGTCTCAGCTCCATCTCGTGCTCTATCGTTGCTACATTAACCACGACAGAACAAAAACATTAACCTCTGCTCATCGTGTCACACGTTTCTAAAGAACTTGTCGTCAGCTGCGAGGCCTGTACCTTTCCTCATGGCCTCCTGCTTGTGTACAGACTCCTCCTGTTTGCGAAGGTTCTCCTCATTCAGTGCTTGCTGTTGACAAAAAACAACAACAGTCAATCCGGTGCTCGTCTCATTTCAAAGCATTTTATCCCATTTTTTCGAGAAGATGACCTCACCTGTTGCCTTAGTTGGTCCTCGTATCGCTGCCTGGCCAGCTTGTCTTGGTACTGAGCTCTCTGTAACAGACAGAAAACAGCCACACGACTTCAATACTTCACAGCTACAGAATACTAAAAGAAAAGGAAGCATAGCTTCATTTTTGGTCCTCACCGCTTGATGCTGTTTGGTCTCTTCATTCAGAGTTTTCCTCCTCTCCTCCCCCTGGATGCGAATCTGGTCGCCTTTGAGCTGCTCCAGCGCTGCTTCGTATTCCTGTCAAAGAGTAACAGTCAGAGGAAACCCAAAGCAGAGCCATGACTGATCCGACACCATGAAGGTCCTCAGACAGATTCAGGAGTATGAACACATGGGATGACACAGTATTAGACACACTTTATATATGCGACTTAAATATGCAGCTCTGAATTTCAAACCCATCCATCTGTAGAAATACCTTTTTTTTCTGCACAGAATATTTTTAAACAGGCTTTTTTTTATTTGGGATTTCATTTCGTCGAGCACATTAATAATTTTTAACATGAAAATGCAGCAATTTGACAAACAACACCTTAATCCAACACATAGTTGTTACTGTACACAGCCTGAATATGATTATTGTCGTGCTTTATCTAGTAGTAAGGACAACAACGATGCCATGACAGCAGTCTTGAAAGCTCTCCTCTCTCATTCTCCACCATATCAAACCACAAACTAAATATGCAGAATATCCAGCATCAAAGCTTTTATTCATCAAGCAACACATTATTCTAACTGACCATCCAGCTGATTGATCACTCAGATGGTTACACACTTATCAGACGTGTTGCATTATTCATCTAAATTAATTTTGCTCGACTTCTGAATGCGTCGAGTGAAGCCGTACCTTCATTTTGCTCTGGTGCTCCATCTGAGTGCTCTGCTCCTGCATTCGAGCCAGATCCAGAGCTTCTTTGGCATGTCCTGGATCACAGAGAGGGGACAGACAGTTTAAAGATGAGTTGTAGGGTTGTTTTTTTTACACCTCTTTGTGGCTGTAGCGTGTGGCTCTTTATTTCTTAACATTTCTGGTCTCCACTCATTCAAAAGGTAAACAGTGGAAGCATGAAGCAGATAAGTCAGTTTGCACATAGAGGAATGCAGTTGTTTCAAGTCGGACTGCAAGGTTGTGACCTCTGCACTCTGCCCCTGTTTGACTGCAGCATGGCTCCGCTCTCAGCGACACTCAGCACCTCCACCTACATGAACATTTGCAGGATGCTGATTGTCGGTGAAGGCCTGATTAGCTAAACTGTTATATGACTGTTATGAACCGGAGAGGAGCAGGTGGGAGCAGGACGCCGGTTCATCTCCTCTCCGGTAACGTTGCGTTAAAGCCGCTGCGCCTCCTCTCCGGTGAGCCACGCTGAACCGCTCAACACTTACGGGACTTGTCGAGCTCCTTGGCCGCCTGAGCAGCGCGCTCCAGCCCGGTGGGATCGAAGTTGCTCCATTTGTCCTTGGGTTTATCTCCACCGCCGCTGGAGCCTCCGGCCGGCGGCGGAGGCGGTGGAGGCTGAACCGGTAAACCGGGAGGCGGCTCCGGCTGCCCCTTGTTCAGGCCGAACAGCCACGACATGTTACTGGGAAACAATAAATCACAGTTCGGCCGGTTCGCGAGCAGCAGGGCTGTCGGCAGCTACTACGGATCTGTCAGCCTCTTCCTCCACACGCGTGTCACGCCGCCGCCTTCTGCGCAGGTGCAGCAGCAAATGTAGCTTCATATGAGTAACAGCAACGACGATTGGCTCGTGACGAGTACTTCTTGCTCTGATTGGCTGCTCAGGCTGAAGCGTTCAGTAGAGGTCATTCATGAAGTCCCGCCCAGCAGCGGTACGGTGGCCGCAGAGGGTCGTTTCAAGTTCAATTCACAGAGAAAGGACGCGATTTTCTATTGGTTGCATCAGGCTGCTTCTGGTGTTTGTAAGTCATTGACATTGATGTGATTTGACCTTCGCAGCCCAGTTTCTTGGAAAGTAGCATTCATTGAAATGTTGAAAACTTAAAACCTTCTAAAGTTTTTATATGTGTTCCCTCACATTTTTATAGCGTGCATAAGAAAAAAAAGGATCAATGTAGGGCTACAGAGGACCAGAGCAAAATAAGATAACCCTTAAAAACCTGTCAGTAAACCTTCTCTTTTTTTTTTTTAAACTGAAGCAATAAAGACAGGACAACAGAATAAATATCAAAATGTTTAATGAACTAAACATTTAGACAACAACTTTATCACAAGAAATGATCAAATATATATTTACATAGAGACGGAAAATAATCCAATCTCCAGGAAACACAATTCAACAGCGTCAAATCATAACTTAAGGGTGCATATCATGTACACAGGGTTATGGAGGCTGATGATCCTCTTTCACGATACAGGAGGGAACCAGGAGGGCTGCTGAGGAGCATTTTGTCGGCAACGCTGCAGCGACACACAGGATTGAAGAATAAACATTTGCTGTGTCGTTTAACGTCTGCTGCCGTCCTGGATTAAGATCATGTACAATTTCAAGAATATTTTGGATTCACAACAGCAGTGGGCGATGATAAATACCAAGGGCCTTATGAGTAGGGAAAATCATTTAAATGTGTCAGATCTTTGCTTCTGGATAACAGAATCACAGCGTGGGTACACGGTAGCGTAGAGAACAGAGGAGCTGTCCTGAAAAGGCCGGGGATCAAGGCACTGCAACAGTAATCATCGGTCCTACTGGAGTGTCCTTAAGTAATGTATTATTTCCCTATTTACTGCAGAGACATTGTCGTGTGTTGGCAACTGTTTAAAACTTCACTAACAAACTACCAATGAGCGGCTCACTCTCATCAGACACAGGTCCAGTATTGCATCATAGAATTGACCACTTTGTCGTCAGAAAGTAAAACTCCTCCCCACAAGACAACAGCTTTTCCATCAGACATGCTGGCCAGCCGCTGGTCTCAAGGTAAAGCTTACGTGAAGGGAACACAGGTGAAGTAACAACTGTAAAGTAGGTGAGGGTGTGTCGGGTTGACTGTGTAATTAACATCTCAAGAATCCAAGAACGCCATTTTTTTTGTTTTTATGTATATAACCACACAGCAAGTGGAAATCCATAATCATGGAAAGTCCTTCACTGCAGCATGACAACGCGGGAGAGGACACCAGGAGGCTCGCTGCCGTCACCCAAAGCTGCACGAAAGCCTTCTTGTTGCCGAGCCTGCGCTAGTTTCGCAAGCGAGAGGAATGACCGAGGTTCTGTGATGGCCAGATCGCTGATAACACGACGGTTGAGCTGAACGCTGCTCTGTGTGGAGGAAAAAAAAAGAAGAAGAGTGAACCAGCAGCGTAAAGAACATGACGGCTGGTGCAGGGCTGTGATGTCCAACACAACCAACCTTTGTGAGGTTGTGCATGAGGGCAGGATACTTCATGCCGTGCTCCCGTGACGCTGCTGCGATGCGAGAGATCCAGAGCTGAAGACAAAAAGACCATCACACAAATTCAAACACAGATTAACAGTGATATTTATTACATGCAGTCTTATGATACTGTAATAAACAAACCCTTTTTTGAGGACAATGGACAAATTATCTAACAAAACTGGGATTGGAAGGACAGGTCAGCTTAAAGTGATGCTTCCCAGCCGTCTGTCTACTTGTGGCTAACCAAAGAATGAGCTTTTCTTTTTCTTTTGTATGTATGTGAAGGAAAGACCCCACATTTGGTGACAATATCCAGTATTTCACAAAAACTGGAGAAAACAAAACCTATTATGCGTAAAACACACGGTTTTCTTTGAGTATCTCTTTCATGACCTCGCTGCAAATCCCATGTATCTTGGGCTCCTTTGGTTGCCATGATGCTTGACTGGACTTTATTCCTTTAATCTTTAACTGTTTTATTGGTTTGTTATGAAATGTTTGCCTACAATCATTTGTAACGCTCTCTATATATATAATCCTTATGAAATCAACTAAATCTAATTGCTTTAGCTGTAGGAGAGCAGGACACACCTGCAACACTTCTGCACATTTAATGGAATGAAATGGTTTAATGAGACAATCCTACAGATGTGCAGCTAGAAGCCATTTGTTATAGAAAAATCTAAATGGCACACCCTGCCTTTGCTCTGTGTGGCAGACAATCCAGTGATATTTGGGTCTTACCGTCCTCATGTTCCGTTTCTTGAGCTTCCGAGCTTTAGTGGCGTAGACGAAAGCCCTCCTGACAGCCCGCACGGCCAGACTGTAGCAGCGGTTCTTCCTGCCTCTGAAGTGCTGTTGGAGGATGAGCACAACACACATCATTATGCTGCTGATATTAGATCAGCACGATGAGACAGCGGAGACTCATCAGGACAAAACCTCATTACAGCTAAAAGGTAGCACAGTGACTCACTGGACAAGCAGGTAGCTAACACACACATGAACACATAGAACCACGGGGATATTTCTACCATATACAACACGCTGCTGCTCCAGCTAATAGTCACAGCCTTACCCGTGCATGTTTGAGAAGTGCTTGGACTTTCCAGTATCTGTCGGGTCCACGGTTCCTGATCCAACAAGACAAGGTCAGAAACACCATCTTTGTCCTCCAGTCGGTTCACTCCTCTACGCTGTTCTTGTTAACAGAGTTAAAACAATGAATGAAATGACCTTATCCCAGCTCCACCTGCAGACACACCGGGTTATGTGAGTTGTGCTCCACACGCTGCGCTACGACTGTAAGAGGCGCTGGGTGCGTTCGTTTTACATCACGACACAGCAGAAAGGGGAAAGTCAAGGAACAGCATGCGGAGTGACTAGAGCTAACGAATTCATTATTTCCATATATTATTGTCGTTTTGGATATAAAAAGAATCGAAAGGAAAATACAACACAAAACATCCAAACAAAACTATAAGGAAAACGCTGCTCAATGTGTGCGCGGCTTTAAATCCGGGACACGTCGATGAACAGAACATGCGCTCCCAGCCTCCTGGTGACACCGCCGCGGTGCATTCTGGGATAGCAGGCGGTGTAGGTCAGAGAAGAGAAACTCCAAAATGTCGGCTGCTAGTCTCACGTCCTTGAGCCGCTGTGGTGTTTTGGCATTCCGCTCCCCGGCAGGACTGGTGGTACGTTGACCGGCGGTAGAGCAACGAACGGGTCCAGTTAGAGGCGGTGTCGGTTTGTTGTAACGTTTCTGCTTTTAACAAACGTTGCAACACTTGACTTGTGACTGTGAGGGCTCCGTCTATGCCCTGGAGTCCAGGTTACGTAGTAAAGTTTAGCTACTAGCTAGCTCTGTTGTTAGCTGTAATAGCGGCGGTTCAACAGTAACTTCTGAAATATGTCAAAATCATGTTTGACTTGTGTGACTTGTGTTCGTCTAATGAAGGCTATTAAAGCCCACATTGGTATCCAATGTGGCAGGAAAAGAAGTGAAAGACACTTGTAAACATTGTTCAGCTAATGTGATGATATAACAGTCTGACAGCTCCAGTCTGAAGACACAACCTGAAGTTCTTCTGACGTGTCTTTGTGTAGCAATGAAGCCTTCTGCACTGTTTCATAATGTCATAGGTGATTGCTGTTATCAGTAAATCCTGCATTTGTTGTGATAAGGAAGCATGAGGGTCTTTTAAAATGCTCCTTGATCTCTGATGTTGCAGTGATTTGTGGTTTATGTTAGTGGGACTGCAACTGTTGTCATCGTTGATCAATCAGGCGATTATTTTCTGAAGTAATCGATCAATATTGTTTCAGAAAATCATTTTTTTAATGTCCATCTATGTCCCCTAAAGCCCACAATGACTTCCTCAGATGCCTTGTTGTTGTTTTGTTCAAATATATTTAATTTACAGTCACAGATAAATAAAGACATCAGAAAATATTCCTGAAACTTATTATTAAACATGCATTTAATAGCTGACAGCTAATGTATAAGCGACTGTGTATAAGTTATTAAACACCAAACATACTGATAGCCACATAAATAACATCCTCCTGCTGCCAGTGGCTTCTAACTAAAACTGAAATGGCTAATTTTCCTGTCGTTCAACAATTTCCCTGAGGTACTCTACCAGAGGGATCAGTAAAGTTCTATCTAATCTGATCTTATTGGTGTAGTCTTACTCATGTACAGTTTACATAAATCAATTGTAAATAGCTGCGTACTAACACGGTCGTGTTTTTCTCTCCTTGTCCGTGTGGTCAGGCGGTGCGCTATGCCCAGACAGCAGCAGCTCCAGCAGCACAACCCAGAGTAAAGAAGTTCCAGATCTACAGATGGGATCCAGACACCGCAGGAGACAAACCTCGCATGCAGACCTACGAGATTGACCTCAACACGTAAGTGCTGTTTCCTCTGAAGTAAAGCCCAGCAGGGGCTGCAATGTGTAGACTTGTGCATATGTAAGCTGTGTAAATGTGCAAATGATAATACACAACATGGTGTTCTGATGTCCAAAACTAATAGATGAGATGAAATGCAATCAGTATCTTTGGACATCTGGTCTGTTTTCTGTGGCTGTTGCAGGTGATTTTCTAACCTTTGTTCGAGAAAATTACAGTGATGACAACTTTGTCAGGTTAAGCGTTGGTCGTCCATTTAAATCTCGGCTTGTCTTTCATTGTAAAAGCTGCTTAATTCTACCAGTAATTTTCTGGTTCTGGAAGCTTGGTGCTGAACACATAATTGAAAGCAGTACCCAGTTATACACAGAGGGCATTATTGATGAGCTCCATCAGGTGGATTTAACACAGTCGACTGTGACAGCCTGGCACAGTCCAGTTCCTTCATCTGTTCTCTAATCAGCTCGGAGAGACTCTCACCTCTCTTCTGTCATCATGACACATCAGCCAAGACAATCCAACACGTAGTAATGCTTTTCAGCCACCGCACCTGTCAGGGTTTTATTTGAACACGTCGTGCTTTCATGTTACTGAGTGACACCAGATTACAGCCTCACTAGTTGTTGTTGTTCTTCTTCATCTAGTTGTGGCCCAATGGTTCTTGATGCCCTCATCAAGATCAAAAATGAGATGGACCCCACTCTAACATTTCGTCGCTCCTGCAGAGAAGGTCAGTAATGTGCATGCTAGAAATATGATACAAGCAAAGATATGTATTTTTTACATGTGTCATTAGATTTGAATATTAATGAATTAATTTGAATGCGTATTTAAACCAGTTTCTGTTATTACTCTACAGTTACTAACTCCTCATGTCCAGTGTTGTGGTAGATGCGTGTTTCGTTCTTCAGATTGTGTCAGAAGTTTTATTAAAAGCCATTAATTACTTTGTTTGAATCAGGTATTTGTGGATCCTGTGCAATGAACATAAATGGAGGAAACACACTGGCCTGTCTCAACAAGATCGACACCAACATCAGCAAGCCGACTAAGATTTACCCTCTGCCACATATGTATGTGGTCAAGGACCTGGTCCCTGTGAGTATAAAGTCCTGAATCATGAGTCCACTGGTACCACGTCTTACCTCTCAGTCATGTGCTGGTTTTGAGATTTAACTAGATCATTGTATTACTCCATGAAGCGACCATCTCATAGTAAGGAAACGTTAAAATGATTGATCCTTAAATATGGTTGCTTGTTTGTATGTGTCGAAGATAGTGATCATTTATCATGACATGTTTAAACACTCCCACAACGGTTCAGTCCTCCTCTGTTGACATATCACTGGCCAAGTTAAATTAATCACTTACATCAATACATTTTTTTAGAGCAAAGCAGGATTGTCTGGAATCCTGAAGCATTTTACAAAAGGTTTATTTTCTAACTTTGTACATTGACATGAACCTTGACCGTAGGATTGTGTTTGCAGGACATGAGCAACTTCTACGCTCAGTACAAGTCCATCGAACCCTACCTGAAGAAGAAGGACGAGTCGAAGGAAGGGAAGGAGCAGTACCTGCAGACTGTGGAGGACAGACAGAAGCTGGTACGCTGCTCGCTGTTTCTAGTTTGATGTAAAACACTGACAGACAACGTTCCCAGCACTCAGAATCACATGAACGTAAACATCCTTTCTTTGTTTTCTCGCGTGCAGGACGGCCTTTACGAATGTATTCTGTGCGCCTGTTGCAGCACGAGCTGCCCAAGCTACTGGTGGAACGGAGACAAATACCTCGGACCTGCTGTGCTCATGCAGGTGTGTGTCCCAGCACATGAACGTAGACGACGGTTTATTCTGTTCTCAGCACAAGGACTCTCCGTTCACATGAATAACTCATCCCGCTGTCTTGCAGGCGTATCGTTGGATGATCGACTCACGAGACGAGTTCACAGAGGAACGTCTGTCCAAGCTGCAGGATCCGTTCTCCCTCTACCGCTGCCACACCATCATGAACTGCACTAAGACCTGCCCCAAGGTAACCTGCAGCTCACAGCGACATGCACATCACAGCTCGGTTATTTTATGGCATGGGCCTCTGTTTTAGATTGAGATAGAAGCAGTATGTCTAAAAATACAAGTTCATGAGACAGCTTTTTAGTAACACTAGACGTCCTTTCTTCCCAGAGGTCATTAAAACCGTCCACAAATGTACAAAAGGGCAGAATTGTAATTATAATGTGTACAGACCTGTTGAACCACAGAGAACACACACGAGCTGTTCAACTGGCAGCAGTACATTTTGAGATGCATTCATTTGTGTTTGTTGATATCTGTTTGTCAAATTATTATTTATTAATCCAGATTGTGGTGAGAATATCTTATTAACAAAGGAAGTTACAAAGAAGGAAACTAAAACAAACGCCTAAAAGTACGAGCGACACAGCGTCTGAAGTGATTCTTTTATTTGTCCGTCAGTGGAGATGATCACAGTGTTGCAGCTGTGTGCCTAACAGATGTTCAATAGAAGAGAACATCATGAAAATAAAAATCTTCTGTAGCATCTTCATGACATGGACCGGATCAGTTTTTGGATCAGGAACAGGAGACTTACCTCGCATCTTCTGCCTTTCACTGCTGCTTACCTGCTTTTTGTTCTTTGTAAGTGATGCTCTCCTCTCATCGAATGTTCAAAAATGACCGTCTCCTCTCTTCCTCTCAGGGTCTGAACCCAGGAAAAGCCATCGCTGAGATCAAGAAGATGATGGCTACGTACAAGGAGAAGAAGGCAGCCGCTGTCTAAAACCTCTGTTGTCCTCTTGTACAACCTCCATGATTAAATTATATCTTGATTTAAAAATATTGCTTCTTGAGGTCTAATGGGCCAGTACACCAGGTGTCTCCACCACATTCCTCAGACTGCCATCAGCCTACATAGAGATGTGTGTGGTCGGAGGACTTGGTGTTACACAAACGCACATGTACAGTATGAATGCAGGAGAGAGAGTGTGTGTCTGAGTCTTACATGTTCCATAGCTGAGGTATTTATCTCCAACTCCACTCTGTGTATGATGGTACACTTGGGAGTCATTATTCTGCATATTACAGTAAAAACAGGGCGTTTCCTTGTGTGTAGACATTTTATTTTTTTTTAGCTTGTTGCTTTCCAAGATATCAGGTCACCTCCAGACTTACAGTGTATATGCTCCTTCAGCTCTTCCAGCATACCAACAGCAGTCTTTGATGGAAAATAAATAGTTGAAATGCCTGCAGCAGTTATGACTGGTTATTATTTACGCTCCTGTTGTGTCGCTCCTGTCGTCCTCACTGTCACCGCTCAGTGTCCTCTAGATGTCACTGGTGTGCAGAACCACAAATGTACCAGAGTTTAAGCATCAGTGGGTTCATTTCAACCTGTCACCAAGGCAGATGATCGTGTTGGAAGTCTTGTCAGGGTCGCAGTAATCATCATTAAAGCTTTTAAATCCGCCGTAGGTGTCACTTGAGTGCAGAAAATCTGAAAGCTTTCAGGGTAAAAGCAAAACCTGCACACTCCAGTGTCAGAGCTCTTTCACAATTAGTGAACTTTATATGCTGATTGTTCATTATTATGATTAAGGAGATGTTTTAAAATGCATTTTATTTTAATTTGGTTTGTCTCCTGGTAACAGTATCTGCAGCTTCAGGTGAAAAGCAAACGGTGAAGCTGATCGGTGGAGGATTATCAGTGGCAAGTCTGATCGTATTTATCCTGTAGGAGGAAGGAGGAAACATTAACATCCTTGAGTAAAAGTATAAAAGCCACACTGTTAAAGTAGTTTAATACGAATAAAAGTTGGCACTGAAGATGTTACTCAGGCGAAAGAGTCAAAGTAAGTGCAATAACCTCTAAGTTGTCCTCAAACACAGGACATGAGTAAATGCAGTGTGTTGCATTAAACCAGTTCAGAGAGGTCAGAGTGGGATTTATCGAACTTGTGCAGCTGTATTCATAGAAATAAGAGCTTTTGTGTTTCCCGCTGTTGATCTGGTTGCTCTTATATCTGGAAAAATACCTCCGACAATGTTCATTAGTGGTCATATGCACATAAAAACAAAAAGTATGCTGATTGGATCAAACAAAAACAACAGAATGCCAAAATAATTAAATCTGGAAATAAAACATATGAAAGGAAAACATGGAACCACTAATTATATGTGCTGGTTTTAAGTATACATAACTGGTGCATGAAGTTAGAAAAGATATGGGAAGGAAATCCACAAAAAAAACTATTGTCAAGTACTATGAAGGTACTTCCACGTCTTAAAGGATGCAAATGGTGGGCGCTGCTATAGCTCACCTGGTTGAGCTGGCGTCCCATGTGCAGGGCTACAGTCCTGATGTGGAGGTCATGAGTTCAAATCCCACTCATGACCCTTTCCCACATGTTCTTCTCTCCTGTCTCTGTCCCTGTTTCCTGTCTCTCTCTCACTGCACTATCAATAAAGGCACAAAGGCCAAAAAAATAACTTAAAAAAAAAAGGATGCAAATGGTTTTCGTGTCACTAATTTTTGCACAGTCTCTCTCATCTAAGCAGCTGCAGCTTGAAACTTCTACAGAGGATCCACGGCCGTCTCGGTGGCCTCTTGCACGGTCACTCAGTTCTTGGGCCTGTTCCAGGTAGATCTACTCATGTGCCAGATACCTTAATGCTGTATTTAACTGTACTTCAAGGGATGTCCAGTGATTTGTGAATGTCCATGTGTCCATTCCCTCACTTGTGCTTTTCAGTAACCCTTTAACAGAGTTGTTTGGAGTGTAGTTATTTCCAGGAGTACTGATCCACCAGTGACTGAACCTTCCAGATACTTGTTTTCATGCTACACTTATCACTTGAGACACATTCGCTGCACCTAAAATAATCTGCATTTCACTCAGTGTGTGACTTCTAACACCAACTAGCTGCACCTGTGTCACATTAATCTCTTTAAACAGGGTGGATGGATACTTACGCAATTATTTATTTTATGAGTTGTTTTTTTTTTAAAATTAATTTAAGAAATCTGTTTTCACTTTAACATGAAAGAGGCTTTTTTTCATGTCCAAAAAGTAAATTAACCATGATTCAGTGCTGAAAAGCATGTGGGGGGGTGAGAACATTTTATAGGCGCTGTAGAAGCACACGTGTTTTATTAGATCGTCTGAGAGGATGTGGAAGATTTACAGGAATCTTCTCAGATTTTATCTCAAAAGATGAAAATCCTTCAAGACATTTTGATCCAGATGTTGGCGCCGAACTACTCACATGTGTCACCTATAGCAGCTCATCACTGAGCTCAAGTGTTGCTCAACCAGACGGGGGACCAGTTTGTGGTGACCTTGTTGCGGGTCGGTGCTGGGACCGGGGGATGGAGGCTGGAGGCTGGAGGCCGGCGCTGGACTGGACGGGGAGGAGACTACAGATGCGGGGTGGTACAATGTGGTGCTGCAAAGTCCTCCTGCACTCACAGGACGCATGAGAGCTGCTGAAAGACGGAGCTAATTGAATCAAAGTTAGGTAAGATCTCTCTCCAAAAAAACAACATCTTATGGTTCTTCTTTTATCTGTTTTTAATTTCATGCAGAAGTGGAATCAGTTAATTTGCAATGCATGGTGAAGACTGTGGAGGGGAAAGAAAAAAAAAGTCAGGAGACATGAGGTGGTTGTGCACAGACTGCATGCAGCACAGTCAGAGTTTTAGAGGTGTTAAAGGATGGTAGGTGTTCATCAGGTCGCTCAGCGTAGACGATGTTTAACGTGTATGTTAATGGGTGCTGAGAGTTGACATGTGGTCCTGTGTTTTCACTGGAGAGAAGAAGGAGGAGGAGGAGGGACTTCACAGCTCAGCCTGCAGCCATGGCACTGGAGACCCCCTCCTCCCCTCCCCTCCAAAAAAATCAGTTGTTTCCAAAGAGTGGAGGTCGATGAGGGCACATGGAAAGATGATTCAGAAGTGTTTCTGTTTTATTTGTCATGACTACATAAAACAAAAAAGACTCGTAGAGCATCTCCTGTTGCTGTCCTCAAAAACTCTAATGTGTGTGTGTCTGTGGGTGGGGTGGGGGGTGGGGGGGGGAGATGGGGTCTCTGTAGCTGGGAAAGGGAAGGACTCAAAGGGGAGAGGGGGGCTAATCGCTCCCAGATGTGTGCTGTGAAAACATATGGTTTCCGATGCACAAGAGGAATAGTGTGTGTGTGTGTGTGTGTGTGTGTGTGTGTGTGTGTGTGATTGTTATGCTGGTACACAAACACACTCAGATTTATTGATACACATGCAGAACTTGTTTCAGTCACGTCCAGTGTGGCCTCAGCAAAAAACAAAAAAATCTGCATTCAGTCACACACACAGAGATTTTTTTGTTAAAAAGTCTCCGGTGCAGGATGTGTGAAAAAGCACAAAATCACTGCCTGAAGTTGTGAAGCGGCGGCCTGCAGTGCTGCAGAGGAGGAGGAGGAGGAGGAGGAGCACTCATACTTTCCACAAAGTGGAAAAGTAGTCAGGAAGTGAAGGTAATGGCTTTTACTGTATGTAACATGTGACCCTCTGAAATTCATTGACAATTTGAAGGAGAGGAAAACGACACTGGGTACGCTGGTTTGCGACGTCTAGACGATGTCATTGTTCGTGTCTTTTTGTCCTCATGTCATTTCCACTGAACCTAAGAGGCTCTTTTGTTTGTTGGGGTGAAGAAGAAAGAAAAAAAAATGGGGGAAAGAGGAGGAGGGGGGTTTTGAGGAAATGACCAGTGAGGGCGACAGAAGGGAAATGAAGGATGTGGAGACGGAGGGAGGGAGGGATGAAGAAAACTCGGGGAGAGGGGTGGAGGGGTCCTCTGTTTCTTTTCCTGGAATGCAGCCTCCAGACTGTCGGCTGCAGCGAGGAAAAGTGGGAAAACAGAGAGATTGTTCTTAGGAAGACAGACGTGCCACATTCTTGCTGTCAAGAGTTTTCTCCCCCTCTTTCTCTTTTTTTTTTTTTTCCTCGCCGTGGCTGTTTGAGGCCAGTGGAAGGCGGGGGCAAGGAGGGAGGATAAGGGGTGAAGGAGGGCAGAGAGAGGGGAGAGCAGTGGGGGGTTAGAAGGGTGACGGAGGGCAAGGGGAAGGAGAGGAGAAGAGATTGCAGGAGACCAAAGGAAGATCCAGCTCTGAGCACTTTATTCCCCTCGTGTTGCTTTGTTTTCATGAACTCTCTCTTCTGTCTGCAGTGTTGAAGTCAGTCTACCTCCCAGAGCGACCATGAGAGTCCTCCTGCTCATCTGCATGCCAGGTAGCTGCACCACATTCCTCCACGGCCTCCAGCAGCCCTTCCAAACACATCTCATATCTTCATTTCTCTGGGACATTAAAGGCTCATTAGAAAATGTGCAACAAGCTGAAGAAGTAGTTTGACATTTTGGGAAATACTTTGACTCATTTTCTTGCAGACAAATAAGAAAATGGATGCCGTGTCTACACCAAGCTGGCGCCATCAGCTCGTTGGCTTAGAATACTTGCATCTTTAAAAGTCACTGAATTAAATGTTTTATCTGGTTTTTCAAATTTGCATAAAGACCAAAGTGTGAAAAACAGCACGTTGTGGTTTTTACAGGGGGCGACGTGCCAGCTTTGTTTTGCTAACTTCCCCCGACAGCAACTTGCAGAGTCGTAGGACGTTAACCATGTGTTTTAGAGAAGGCCTGTGACCATGTGCCCCAGGAAACCCTTTTGGGCATTATGTGGGAATAGTGGTTACTGGGACCAGTGCTATGAGCCAACTGGGCCTTGTACGGCCAAAGTGAGAGCTGGGTTCATGTTCTCGGTGGGTCTTAGATTCTGCCCCTTGTCTTCGATCCCATTTGTGATATTCAAGGACGGCATGTCAACATGCAGGTGGGGTGAGGAGGGTGTCTGCTTAGTGGACCTCAGAGTTGGCAGAAGATGTGGTTCTTCAGCGGGAACTGGAGTAGTTTGCAGATGGGTGTGAAGATGAGAATTAACACCTTCCAGTCTAAGACCATGGTTCTCTGACAGAAACCAGCGCTCCTTCCCAGTTGGTGGAGAGTTGGTCCTGAAAGCAAAGGAGTTGTAGAGTCTTGGGTCTTGTCAACAATTGAAAATGGAGCATGAGATGGACAAATGGGGCAGCATCAGGAGACATGCGGGGTTTGCACCAGACTGTTTTTAGATGGTCTTTGTTCCAACCCTCACCTTTGGCCATGAGCTCTGGGTGGTGACCGAGAGGAACAGTGTAGATACAAGTGGTTGAAGTAGTTTTCCTCCACTGGGAAGCTGGATTCAGGCTTCCTTAATGTCAAAAGGAGCCAGCAGAGGAGGTTCGGGCATCTGATTAGGACGCCTCCTGGGCAACACCCTTTAGAGATTTTCTTGGAGGAGACCCAGAATTTACTGGAGGGGTACCATGTTTTATCTGGCCTGGGGACCCTCAACGTCTGTAATACCCTTCTTAGCTTGCCACCCACTGACCAGACTCCTGATAAGCAGAGGAAAACAGATGAATGGATGTTTCTTCCAGTGGGCCTTGCTTAGTGAAGCTGCCGAGTATCCAGCTGAAAAACAGACTGGTTTGTGTTAAGCTAAACCTCGTACATGAGCACTGTGTCGATCCTGCTGTCTGCCAGAAAGTCAGTAGAGTATCTAACAAAATGTCAAGCTGTTGCTTTAAAGTTTTGGGGCAAAATACTTGGGTATTATTTAGTAGGAGCTTAACATGAATAAACATTGCCTGTGGGCTTGGCGACACAAGGAAACAACCCAACAACAACACATTTTGATTTGATACAGCTCACTCCCGGTTAGAACGCTTACAGACTGGATGAAAACGAAGCCAAAGCAGAAATGACTGAAGCCTGCATTCTGTCTAGCAGCCAGCAGGGGGCGACTCCTCTGGTTGCAAAAAGAAGTCCAACATCCATAAGAAAATTACTCGACTTCTCACTTGATTTGTTGCTTCAGTAAACGTTTTTTCTAACGAGTTTAAGGTTCAAGCCGCTAGATTTCCTTCAACACGGTAAAATGTTCAAGTCATGGTTCCATTTGGACGAAAACAATAAAGCATCCTTGTGAAGTTGCTACCGTATACGTTTACATAGTGTCCTCCAGTTCTCAGTGGGATCAGCCTCTCATTGGTCAAAACCGGGTTCAAAACATAAAGATGGTGAAGGTCAAATTAAAAACTAGGGACTTTAAAACAATAGTCCACAGACCAGTAGGCTACATGCTACATCTTTTATATAACGTCTATGTTAGAGCCTGACGTTACGCCGTCCAGTTGCATCCAGTTGAGTGCTGTTTCTGAATAACAGTAAAGTACTGACACAGCTGATGTGATGTATAGATGGTAAACCTTAATAAGTATATATACACCTTTCTTTAATAGTTTTTTTTTTTGATAACATTTTGTTCCTCCTGCAAATTAAAAGTTGGATTAATAGAAATACAATAAAACTGCTGTGTGTGCATTTGCAAAGTTAGAAACTGTAAATGTTGCTTTTAAGAGGAGGTGATGTTGAAACCTTCTGAAATCTGAATGTCTAAAGTAAATGTGCATCATGGCTTTTTTTAAAAACACCTAATAAACAGCCAGAGTACATGACACATGGTACAGCCAGAGGACTTGTAATTACTGCCTCTCCACCGCTGCGTTTCTCTCATCACCCCATCTTTGTGATTACTTTATTTGTCCAAAACATCAACAGTTCTGCTGCTCGCCCAGGGCCAGTACCAGGAACAGTTCCCCTTTCTGGGTGAGTTCATTAAGAGAATATTGGCCTGCATTGTTCCAGCTCAGCATCAGTTTATATCAGAGCTCTCCACATCTGTTCCTGATTCCTGGCTGTCCTCTGATGTGTCACCTCGCCTCCAGCGCTTCTCTCTCCTCCTTCGATTGTTGTTTACCTCCCGCATGGCAACTGTATCGCAGTGTAAATAGCGCTTTGACCACTCTGCATGTTGTTATTTGCAAGCGTCTTGCATATGAAGTCATGGATTACAGCCTCGCAAGCTGCTTGTTTATGTCTTCCGGGAGTGCAGGTGGTTCACTTTATAAGCTGCTCTCTGTGTAGGTTTTCACTGAATGTTGATCTTATGATCTCATGATCTCTCTCCTGCTTGTTTTATGGCTTTGCAGAGGACTATGGGCTGGATTATTTTCCAGGTAAAGAATTTACAGGTTTCTTGATGTTCTTGTAACGTTATGCTCGTGGACTCTAAAAGTCCATGTGTGACAAGATGTCCCTGTCCTCTTGTGTAGAGAGTCCCGAGTCTGAAAATTCAGAATCTCTTCCTGGAACCTACCAGCAGCAGGTTCAGCTGGAGCCGGTAGTCCGTCCAGAAAAATCAGGTACAACCACTGAACTGTTCACGGTGCTGTTTATAAATATATGAAACTGATTTTTGTCTCACGAGTAAATCTGTTTCCCATCAGGGTCCGATGTGGAGACGGAACCCACAGAGCCCGGCCCTCTTGGTAAGCAAGCTGGAGAGTAAAGGACACACAGTGAGGCGTTCATGGAGAGATTCTAATGTTGTTTGATTGATTCCTAGATTGCAGAGAGGAGCAGTATCCCTGCACCAGACTCTACTCCGTCCACAAGCCATGCAAGCAGTGCCTCAACAGCCTCTGCTTCTACAGGTACGTGGAGCACGAAGCCACTTCAGAATGAATTATCTCTGTTGTCTTTACATCAGGCAAAAACCTTCTGAAGTTTGTGGCTCCAATTCCCCCTAAACTGAACTGTTACGCTCCAGAAAGCAAAAGGCGTCTTTTAAATCTTTCCAAACAGCTTGTGTCACATAATAAAAATGTGCAATAAAAAAACAAGCACAGAGCACAAAAGTCCAGTATTTAGCTATTTTATGGTTTGTTTTGGAGTTCATGTGAGTTTTGGTTCATTCTCAGACAAATATCAGTAAACATTAACCAAAGCGGCTCCATTTCTTTTTGCTACCGTGAGATTTAAGTTTTATGTCTCTATGAGGCAGACGTGAATATGTTTCAGAAAAGCCAGAAAAAGACGCACAGAAGTCAGACTTAAAGCTTATAAAAGGTTCCTTAATGAACTCACACATTGTAAACAGGAGTGAATGGGGCATTTTCTCAGGGCTACTTTCAGCTGTGGGTTTTCACACATTTGGAGCTGGAGTGAGTTTGTCTATCTGGTACTGATTTAGTTTTTTTTTGATTAGCAATCAAGGAGAGCAATGAGCAATATTTCACACTAATATACGTTTGCAGTAAAAATAACGACGCCTTTGTTTTTTAATGTTTCACTTATTGTTTGATTGAAAGACAATTTTTCAACATTCAAACCAATAAAATAAGATAATTAAACACAATAAAATAAACTTCATAAGCACAACACGCCTCATACCATTTCCCCTTTGCAATAGACATGTCACAGTTATGCTTTCTTTACATTTCAGCAACACTCAACGTCTCCAAATCCTTCTCGAGATGTTGCATCCTGTTCATAGTTTTTGACTTGTGTGATGAACAGGCCTCGTAGAATTCATCAGTAGATCCCATCAGAGTGGATCTGGCTTCTTGCGGTTAGAAAAACTGCATAAGATCTCCAATCCAGTGAAGAATTAGTCATCCAGCAACCCGAGATGCAAAGACTCCAAATGTTGGTGATTGAGAGGGAACCCGAATGCCGCTGAGAGAGTTTTGAATAAAGTCGTGCATGTTTAGCTTACAGTTTAGTTTAGTTACAAAAACAATAATAATAACCTGGTAAAGGGTTAAAAGTGTGCTCTGATAATGGATCAGGCCAATAATGTTCCAAGCCCCACCTCCACTGAGTGCAACACTCTGGCTTCTTATTAGGTTTTGGGCAACGACTCAAAAGAATACATCATGTTTGGCTGCTTTGTCGACCCCACAAGAAACACACAACAGCAACAGATTAATCCTTCAAGTGGAGGTTTGACTGATGTGAAGGTTTTGAGTGAACTAGCCCTTAAACGTTCTTTGTTTCTGCCTCATTTGTGAGCTCTACATGTGTTTCCATTCAGTTTGCGACGGGTGTACGTCATCAACAAGGAGGTCTGCGTGAGGACCGTGTGCGCGCACGAGGAGCTGCTCAGAGGTGGGTTTCCTCTGCTCGGCCTTCAGGCCTTCATGCCTCCAGGCTTGTTCCTGTCTCACCTGACTTCTCTGTTTGCGTCTAGCGGATCTGTGTCGCGACCAGTTCTCCCGCTGTGGCGTGGCGGCGCTGAGCGGTCAGTGCTCATCACTAGGAGGAAGCTGCGGGAAGAGCTGCGGTGGCTGCTGATGATCAGGGACCCCACCTGCCCAGATACTGCCGCTCCTCCTCCTCCACCTCCTCGTCCTCTTCACTTCCTCCTCCTCCTCCTTCTAACCCTGTTGCTCCTCACTTTGCCTCCTGTACTCTTGTGCCAAACAGCACTTGCATATTCTTTTGTTCTGTTTTCCCACATGCATGTCTGCACACTAGATCCTGTGTGTGCAGACAAATATACTCCAAAGAACATTGATGATTGTATAAATCACTGGTGCTATAAAAACGTTTAGAGGTGCACATAAAACTGCGGAACAACCTTTTACTATTTTGTTGTTGTTGTTGTTTTTGCATATTGTACCGTATTAATCTCATGCTTTTGTTTGTCGACATGTTACTGTACTTGTGTCATCGTCATGACCCATCAATGCACTGTCACTGTGCACTGACACCAGACGGAGCTAATCAATACGCAGCCATCAACTGTCTCACTGTGGAAGATCATGAGATATGTGAAGAAACAGGCGGTGAGTGACCTCAGTTTTTGCTGCCACCTGGATCTGTGCTGAGCGACTGAGCGGTGGCAACCAGCGCTTTGAAAAGGCATCTCACAAATGGCCTCTGTACTACTGCTTTTGTAAAACTGTCACTATAAAGACCGAGAACAAAAATAAACTTTTTTTTTTATACTACAGCTGTTCGGTGTGTGATCGTGTCAAACGTGATTCATGGCAGTCGGGAAATCTGAGGTATTTATGAACAGACGTGACTTACGGTGCTCAGAGTCGCTTTATTCTCCTGCAAACATGTGGCTTCCATGTGCACTGTCCATACAAGAGATACTGCTGCTATTAATCATCGGCCTGTCAGTGTTTATACAGTAAGTAAAAAGTATAGACATCTGGTAAAACTAACTAATAAAAAAAACACTTTAGGTTTGCCATCACACTGCAGCACTCGACTGTCGATGCTGTTTCTCATTTATAAAATAGCTCCTATATCTCACATAAGCATCAAAATCTGAGAGAATACACAGTGCAGTTCCTTCATTGTTTTTCCTTCTCGCCCCTAAGTTGTGAATGTGAAGGAGGCCAAACTGCAAAACTGGCAGACTTTTCCCTCCCTGCGCTGCATCCAGACCGTCTGGAGGAGAGTCCTGCAGTGATTTGGGTTTCTTCTTCTTCTTTCTTCAGAGCAGGATGTGTTTGGGAAGATGTCGAGCACGGATCAAGTACAAACAGCTGCCAGGAATCAGCAGGCGCTCCGTCTCCCCGCCTGTCATTTGTGCTGCAGTTAAGCGTTCTTTACTGCTCGCGATATCGATAAAACACCTTCAGGGTGACAGCAGTGATCGTTTCAGTGTCGCAGAATGATACAAACAATCTTTTAAATAGTTAAGAACACATTTCTGTGGGTTAGAGTTGCTATGAGACATTCGTTTTTTGAGTCCCTGGATTACAACGTGGTGTGCTGGTGCTTCAGGTCTGTGAGCTGCCTCTCAGTTCCCTGATGGCAGCAAGGAGGACGGAAGAGAAGGCTGCCGCCGCTTTATCTCCTGCTGCAGCTGATCCTTCAGAGTGGACACCTGCAGGAGTGACAAAGCTTCATTTTACCTCTGAGATCACGTGAAGTAAATCTTCAATCCAAGTTTTGTCAGGCTGCTGCAGAGACGGGACGCAGGGCTGCACGGTGGTAATAATAATCTGGGTTCTAAACAGCACGACTTGATTAAAATAAATAAAAAATTGCATTTATTTGCCACCTATGTTGACTCCCAAGGTTTTGAAGAATAAATACTGTCACTGAGCCATCGTTATTTCTTAGTTTGTGACAGCTCAGGAGGAGATGTGCAGCTTCTGGTTTTAAGTTAAAAAATTACAGTTATTGTTTTATTGTATAAATAAAAAATGTTTTCAAATGTAATGCTTGCTGAATCCAGAGAAACTATTTCTGTATTCTGAAAATAATCATCAACCTCTTCATTTACTGCAAGAAAGACTCTCCAGCATCAGTGCTACAAAGTCCTGCAAGAACATAACGCATTGTATTGTTCCTAAATTCAGTAATCACATTATTAATCAATTACAGTTACTACTATTACTACTGAGGCAGTAGGCTTTGTTCTTTTGACTGGTTTTCAGCTACTCTGCTGTTGGCTTTGTGGTAAAACTTAAATAATGGGTTTTTAAAAAAGATGTTGTGCACGTCCTCCTCATTAGAATAAAACGCTGTGCTGATATGTGGGTATGTGGAGGTGAGCAACTGGAAATTATGCAACAATGCATCGCTGGGGAGGAACCCAAATGTAAAGCGTCCCAGATGACTTCCTGCAGGAGAGTAAATAGCTAAAGTATTGCATTACGTTTTCACCACAACGCTACAAGACCATGTGTGCACCTGCTCCTCCAGGCCTTTGACCCGGTGCCGGTGAGCTCGCTCTCGGGTGCCCAGCGTTCGCTCCACGTCCCTGAAGCTGCTCCTCAGCCTCTCGGCCTCCCGCTGGGCCTCGTCACGCTGCCTCGCCAGACTCTCACACACACTGTGGGACTGCTCCGTCTCAGCCAGCTGGGTCTGAAACACACACACAGGTAGAAGAGAACAAAAAAGTGACGGAGAGGAAAAGGCCGGAAAGTCTGTCGGGACACCAAACGCGAGAGAGTCGGATCAGTTCTTCAAACACAGACCACCCAACACCGGAGGCAAAACTGTTGTTTGGAGAAGCTGCAGTGAACTACAACCTCTGAAAGATCACGTAAATACGACCATATAAGACGTGACGCCATTCTAAACAAATGTGTTGCAATGTAGCTTCAGTAAGAAGCTCGGAGCCAAAAAGTTAACCTGCTGCTGGTGGATCATCGAAACGAAACAGGACGACTGTCTAGTAAGCTATACGTAAACTTCACAAATAATAGAGTCTAAAAAACCACTTAACTTAATAATCAGTCGTCCGGTTTAAGTAAACATCATAAACTTTTTACCAGTTAAATTTGCACCTATGGTTTTATTGGTCTTTTACTGGTCCTCTGACGACACGCTCCAGGTTAAATGACACCAAGTTTACGTTCTCCGCCTCTTTCAGCACAAGTTCAGCAGCTTCATCGTGTCTGCTGCTGACCGTGCAGTGTAATGACACACTTTACGAATGAAAAGGGACGAAAGATGAATTTCAAGATAACTACAAACACAATCTTTACAATTACAGAATAGTTCTGCAGCTTTTTTTTTCCACCCCAAAAAAAAAAAAATTATTGGCTTCCCAAAGGACACTTGTGCAGCCTCGGAGAAGCTTTGACTAAATAAGGAGAAACGAACGGTGGTCTGAGACGTAGAACCAGCTCGAAATAAACAACTTTAATGACCGTTACAGGATTCCACAGAAAGCCGCTGCTTTATTTATTTGCTTGTTTATAGCGTGTCTGTGGTAAATTTAAAAGAAAAGAAAAAAACTATAACTAACAAACAGTTTTGGTTTGAAACTTTTACTTTTTGATGCTATCGATGACGTGACACAAAAGCGATGCAGAGATGAAGAAGAACAGAAAAACAAGTCTGATTGTTGATGCCTAACTGAAGCCATACGTGTCGGTTTATTGTCTCCTCATACACCTAAACTGCAGAGCAACATTTAAGCTAATCTCCTCCTTTTTACATTCATTACAGGAAAGTTTTTCTCATGAAACCACTTTTGCATTCAAACAAACCCCCCTCTTTTTTTTTTTCAAACCAGCTTTGCGGTTTTCATAGGAAGTGAAATGGAAAATTAATGATGCACCACAAAACCACACAAGCCCAAACTCTGGGATCAATTTGTGAGGTTCAAGGTTGGTTTTTCTCACTCTGAAAAGTTTCTGGCTCGACACGACATCCAGCCGAGGAGGTGTGAAGCAACAGATTTACAAAAATAAACAATTTCTGAGTCATCAGCAACAGATTTTCCAGGATTTTCCTTCTACCGTTACGCTGCGACTGCGGCCGGTTCGGTTTTAAATGTGAGTGGATCACCTGCAGCATCAGGATCTGCTGCTGCGCCTCCTGCAGCTCCTGCTCGGCTGTGTTCAGGGAGCGATCCAGGCGGCTCCTCTCTGCAGACAGACGCATGCTGCCTTCTTCAGACTTCAGCTTCTGACGTTCCACCTGACAAGAGATTTATTTACAGGAATGTAAAACAGGAGATCGGTGGCGAAATAGCTCACGTATGAAAATCTGAATCAGTGTTCCAACATCAAAACGGCATTTTCAGTTCAACCACGGGCCAAGTTTGATTTAGCATCGCTCAGCGGGGACAACAGAATGCTTTACTTGCTATATGATTGTAATTTTAAATAATTTCCTTGATCAGTAACAGTCATAAGTTTGTTTTAGAATTGTACCAGTTCTTATTTTAGGTTAATTTGGCAAAAAGTTACCAAAAAGCGACCACAAAGGGTTTAATTCATGGTTGTCTTAAAAACATGTTTGTTGTTGTCTCAGAAACAGGGATTACTTTGCTTACAGGCCTTTTCTGTTTCTTAGATTTGGGTTATTTGCATCCCACTGACTAAACTAAGTTCAGACGAGGACCAAGTAATCCAATAACTACTCTCTACAAAAGTTACTTTTTTCTGATATCTGCTGTATTCATCATTTAACTAACAGAACAACTTGAGCGTCCTACTCAGACTCTATGATCTGATGTCTGCCATGAATCATCAGACACTGCGGCCCAGTTGGATCGACACAGATGTTCTGCACATCGCACGAAAAAGCCAACATTTGTCACAAAGAACTTGATGAATGTTGAATTCACAACTGGCTCGTTGTAACGAGATGATCGGGTGGAGCAAGTTTGACTCAGGATGCGGAGCTGACCTTATCCAGCGTGTTCCTCAGTGCGTTCTTGTCCTTCTCCAGCCTCACCGCCTGCCTCTCAGCATCCTTCTTCTCCGTCTCCAGCATGGCGACGGCTCTCTGCAGCCCTCGCAGCCGCTCCTCCACAGCAGCCCGCTCCGTCTGCGCTGCCTGGCTGCTGCGCTGAGACTCCAGCAGGCTGGCTGCACGCTGACGCAGAGCCTGACAGAGGAGCAGAAATAAACAGGAGGGAACCAGTCTGCCACCTGAGTTAAAGTGAGGCCTCAGCTACAGCTTAACGTCTTTCATGTGTCTCTGACCTCCTGAGTGTTGTTGAGCTCGGCCTCCAGCTCTTCTCGCCGCATCTCGCTCTGGTTCAGCTCAGTCTGCAGGTTCTGCACGCGCTCAGTGAGGGCGGCCATGTTCCTCTTTGCCTCAGCTGTTGATGTTCGGGCTTCATCCAGTCGTTCCTTAATGGCACAAAATAATCACCACATTCACTTAGGATCCACATCATTTGAGCTTGTTTTTCTTCTGACTCACTCACCTGCAGAAGCCTTTTGTCCTGTTCAGCTACACTTAGTGTCTTTTGAAGAGCAGACAGGCGACCCTGTGAGCTGCTGTGAGCAGCCGTTGCCTCCTGGAGGGTCTGGTTGAGGGACGTGGTCTTTTCTTTGAGCACAGATTCACCTTCCTGAGCTTTGAGCAGAGCCTGGCTCAGCCTCTCCACCTCCCTCTGCAGCAGAGACACACGGGCTTCTCCCTCTGCCACCTGCACATCGTAGACAACCAGTTAATACGAAAACCAATCAAACGAGCAAATAAGTGTGATAAGTCAGGAGCTGTTTCCACTGTTATCACATGTAGTTCATGAACAAAGATGGCGGCTGCTTGAATCATGTTTTTGTGCCACACCATCAGCGTTGCTTTATGAACAGCAGAGGTATAAATAAATGGCTGTGATTCATTACCTGTTTGAGCAGAGAGTCGTGGCGCTCCTGGGAGGCCTGGCTCTCAGCCTCTCTGTCTCCCAGACTCAGTTTGAGTCTCTGCAGCTCCCCCTCCACGCTGCGCCTCCCCAGCTCCACCCTGGTGGCTCGAGCTTCAGCTGCCTCCAGCGCCTCCCGCAGACGCCTCCTCTCCGCCTCCAGACGCATCTCAGCAGCGCGCTGCTTATTCAACAGATCCTGCAGAGTGGAAGGGAGGACAGAGGTCATGCTAAATGTGTACATTCAGAAAGCTGAATCATTTGTTTATGTAACAGAGATGTGAGCTTTACAGATTACATACTGGCAGTCAAAACCAATGATGATTCAATGCTGCACACAAGCTGATATAAACGCCGCTTCGTCTATCTGTGCTTTATGCTGCTTTTCCCGTAAACAATCTTTCCTATTGTGTCTCAGCTCCTCCTGTGGTCCAGAAGGTGAATCATTATGAAAGTTGCTGGCGTTAAGAACAGACATATGGAGAGCTGAGACACGACACCACAAGAGGTGCAACGCTGTGTGTGTGAGGCATCTGTTGTTATGAGGTCCCTGACAGTCTCCACTTCTAAATATCGCTCCACTGTTGAGTGCTGCCATATGGCGGCGGAGGCAGATCGGTGGTGGCTGCTGAGGAGTGACAATACAAACACATGGAGTTTACATGCATGCACACAAACATGCGTGTACCTGCGTGTGCTTCTTATCCGTGTCAGAGGCCTGCAGCGCTCGCTCTAAATCCTTCACCCTGTCGGACAGAGCTCTCCTCTCTCGGTCTCCTCTCCTCACCGCCTCCTCCTGCTGCTGCAGCAGCATCTGAGTGGTGGTCAGACGCTCGTCCAGTCCACGCCTCCCTGCCATCACACACAATAACTCACATTTTCTACTTATGCTTTAAGGTAAAGTCCTCCTACATGCACTCGAAAAATGTGTTTGCACAGATGAAGGGACGTCCAGATTTTCACACTAGTGGACAGTTTTTTAAAAAATTATTCTGCAGGAAGTGAAACATTTCTCTGAGCTCATCTAAAAGGTGAGCAGGATGCATCACATCACAGCTAGCTCTGAGTTTCTGGTCTAAGCATAACTTTGCACATGCATGATGTGGAAACTACAGACTACTTTGGCAGTCTATTAATTAGTCGATTAATCAGTGTTGTTTGTTAAATAAAATATCACAAAATGGTGAAAAAAGTCAATCCCTGTCTCCCAAAGCCCAAGATGACGTCCTCAAATGTCTTGTTTCATCCACAACTTAAAAATATTCAATTTACTACTACAGACGAGAAAATTGACCAGAAACATTACACATTTAAGAAGCTGCAATCAGAGGACTTATTTTCTTACAAAAAAATGAGGCAAGATGATCAATCAGTTATGGAAATGTAATAGTTAACAGCTAATTGAATAATTGTTGCTGCTCTAGTTTAAACTTGAAGCCTGAATCTTTTCATCCATCTAACTTGATCAAATACAAACGTGTTTGACCTTCTTGGTAATCCTGTAAGGTGCTCTGCAGCTGAGTGAGTCGACTGTGAGCAGAGTCTCGTTCCCCTTTCTGCTCCTCCAGCTCTCGCTGCACGGCCCCCAGCTGGCATCGCACATCATCCTTCAAAACAAGCAATAAACAAACGCTTGAGCCACACAAACAAAAAGCATATCCTCAAGTTATTATGAAGACCGTTAGTCTACGTGCTGGATCTACCCGTTCTCTCTGTGCGTCACGCAGCTCCTGGAGGAAATCTCTGAGACCACTTCTCAGGGTCTCGGGGTCGAGCTCCAGCTGAGGGAGAGGCAGCGGCGTGTCGCCTCTCTCAGGAGAAACAGCTCCTGAGCCCAGAGCGTTCTCAGGTGTGCTTCCTCGAAACTCTGTCAGATTGAATAGAGATCATCATCTTGTAGAGTGTCGTCTGCATTTTTTATTTTAATATGTTGGACCTTGTAAAGGAAGGGAGGAGGTGTCACATCATGCAGAGACTGACAACAGTAACAATACTACTACTACTACTACTACTACTACTACTACTACTACTACTAATAATAATAATAATAATAATAATAATAATAATAATAATAATAATAATAATAATAATAATGGTCAATGATTGTATTTCACGCCCTGCATGGGTTTTTGATGTTATTTTATGATGTAATGATTTCATTCCTTTAATATTTATTTCCTTTCCTTGATTATGACTATTTGTAACAGCGAATAAAGACGGTCTAACACTTCAGCCAGCATGTCTCTATTTTCATACAGGTGCCATTTTTACCTGATCTCAGGACTGAAGGAACCTGCAACAAATACAGTCGCTTTCCAATGTTCACTATATTTGCACCAGTACACTTTAGTAGTCCCCATTTATATAGTGTTGTGGGCAAATTATGGGGCTCCCCAGGGTAAAATGAGATATTTTGTTGATTAGTTTGTTGACATACAGCTTTTTCTGGCCGGCCAGACCTTGACTGAATGTCACTCCCCTGCTCGTCCTTTAGATTTCTTCTCTGTCTTGTTGTTTCTCTTATACAAATGCAATGAAAACTCAAAATATATGGGGGGAGATGAAAAGGTTTTGTCTTTATATTTTCTTCTTTTTTGTGCTAAATTCTATTTGTATGTAAAGTTCTCTGTATATAGTTTTTAATGTATACTGGGTGTCTGTTACTCTACTTCCTTTGACTGCACAGGATCAATAAAGTTCATCTTATATTATGATCACATCTATTTTAGGTGTTATTAAACAGTTTTTCCCCCAATACGACCACCAGGATTAGTGTTTGTTGCCGAGGTAACAGTTGGGATCCATTTAAATGCGACAACAACAAACAAACAAGCGTTGATCAGATGAAGAAAAGCTCGACGGTTTCATTCTTGCCTTTAGGAGGCGACAGCGAGGAGCGCAGCGGTGAGATGCTGTGGTGGCGCGACATGGTGCCGGGCGACGCGGAGCTTCCTCCAGGGCTCCTCCCCCTCCCCGCTCTCCCACTCGCTCCGATGCCCAGCGTTCGGGTCAGCGCCGACTGGAGGCTGCTCAGACGAAACTCCAGGTCCCTCCTCGAGGCCTCGGCTCGGACCAGCTCGGCCTCGGTGGCGGCCAGTCGGCCCTGCGCCTCGCTCAGCTGCAGGCTGGACTGAGCGGCGGCGTCCTGGGCGGCCTGAGTGCGCAGCGACAGGTTTTTGGCTTCATCCTGGAGCTTCTTCTCGCAGCCACGAGCATCCTGCAGCTGAGCGGTCAGTTCCCTCTCACAGCTGCGCCAACCAGACTCAGAGTCCATCAGACGCTTTTGAGTCATCGAAAGCTGCAGTGAGATAAAATAAAACAGGAAATATTGTGACACACTGAGAGGCAAGAACAAAGGGAAGCTGAATATCGCTTCACTTTGCTCACCTCTTTCCTGAGGGAGTCTCTGGCTGTTTCAGCTTCGGTCAGCTTCTGCTTGAGGATGAAAACCTCCTTCCCTCTTTCCTCCTCTCTTTGCTCCTCCAGCGACAGGCGGGTCTGCAGCTCTGCCACCTCCTGCCCTTTGTGCTCCTTCTCTCCGTCCAGAACCTTCAGCTGGAGCCAAAACAACACAAACAGCACCATCAGTCTACCACCATAATCCGGCTGCACAGACTCTCTGTTTTTACAGGTTACATGATGTAGAGGTGTCTGCATGCTGACCTGTCTCCTGAGCTCCTGCAGTTCTCGCCGAGCCTCAAGTCGTGACCTTTCGACTTCTCTCAGGCAGCTGCGCAGCTCCGTCACCTCCCTCTGAGTGGAGGCAAAATTCTCCTCCAGCACAGCCAGCCTCTGCTCCTTCTCCTCACACTGTCGTTTGACACTGACAAACCCAACACACACTCAGTCAGCGTGACGACATTTTACTGCATTTGTCCAACTGTACTTCTATCAGTGGACAGTTTTCCGTTACGTTTACCTGATTCTCTCGGTTTCTGCACTTCGCAGACTTTCTCTCAGCTGAGCGTTGGATTGGCTCAGAGTGTCTCTCTCCTTGGTGGCGTCGCAGAAGCTGCGGCGGAGCTCCGTCCCTTCTCTCCTGTAGTTTTCTGCCGAGTCCTGAGTTTGGTTCAGACGACGGTCGGTCTCCAGCATGTCGCGCCTCAACTGGTCTCGACTCTCCTCAGCAGCTGAGAGAGAAGCTCTGCACTGCTCCAGCTGGAGGGCAAACATACGATGAACACAGGACGTCTCAAAACATGAAACGTTTGTTGATAAAGTCTAGGGAAGAATTAGACCACATGCCTGAAACACATGATGAAAATAATATGAATATAGTCTCATGCTGACGCACAACTAATCCACAGATACAGATTATAACGACTGATCTGTAGAGGACTGTGCAGGTAGAAACTCTCAGAGGACTTTCTAATGTTGTTCTGCATAACTTTAATGTCGTGTCTTGTACCTCTTTGAGAGCAACATCAGCACGTGACCGGAGATCAGCACACGTCTCTCGTAGACTGTGGACTTCCCGCTCGTGAGAAGAGGCTGCATCCTCCAGCTGAGATCGAAGCTCCAGCAGCTCGCTGGTCAGAGTCCCGACTCTGATCTGAAGTAACCAAAGAGAGAGTCAGTTTAGTTCATCTTCCTCAAGCTTCTGTGGTTTATCACGAGCAACAAAAGCCACATTCATCACCTGCTCTTGCTCTTTGTAATGAGCTGCGTCTCTGGCCAACCGCTCGCCCTCCAGCGCCGCCGCCGACAGCTCAGCCTGCAGACTGGACAGCCTGTCGGACAGAAGCGTCTTCTCTGCCTCCTTCATGGAGAGAGCCTGGAAAGAGAGAAAAGCAACGAATGTCTAGTTGTGGTGCTTTCTAACAAACACAGAGGACAAACTTAGAGTTGTGGAAGAGCATATGTTTGTAATTATGACAGAGATTCCCATCAGTGGTGTGGTAAACCAGTGATTATGTGATCACATGGTAATGGTTATGTGAGGTGCAACAGCACTGCTTATTGTGATACCAGGACATATTTCCACAGTGGACAGTTTCCCAAAGCCACATCAGACCTGCTGTTTCTCAGTCTCGGCCTGCAGCAGACACTGATCTCGATCATGCTGCAGAGTCCTCAGTTCGTCCTGCAGCTCCTCTCGTTCTCTCTTCGCTCTGTGCAGCTGATCCTCCGTCTCCTGCCTGAGCTTCTTCACAGCGACCTCGTGCTCCATCAGCAAGCTGTGCCGCACGACTTCCTGGGAAACGCGACAGCAAAAAGACGGATCAGAGCGACGTCTGCATCAACAGTCTTACTCCAGAAGTTAATATAAGTATGCAAAGTCACCTCAGTGAACTCTCTCACCTTTTCTGAGACCATCCTCTCCACCTCCTCCTGATGCTCAGAGATGGTCTTGCGTAAAGCCTGCTGGGCCTCCAGCTGTGCAGCATTTAGAGCCTGAGTCAGAGCCTGTTTCTCCCTCTCAGCCTGAGCCAACGCATTCTCCCCATCTGAGCGTACACGCCGCAGCTCAGCTGGAAAAAAAACTCCACCATTAGGTTCTCATTCTGTCATGTGTCTGTTTTCCATTTTAACAATCATCTTCTGCGTGTTTTATTCCACGTGCTATCTCCTCGTCTCTCACCTGCAGCAGTCTCACAGCGGACCCGAAGGTTCTGGTTCTCCGTGTCCAGCTGCTCTCTGCGAGACTCGGCCTGAACAAGCTGCTGCTGCACGTCGAACAGACTGGTTTCCAGAGACTCCCGCTCTGACCTGCAGGTTACAAACTCTAGTTTTACACACACCCGGACTCATGTTAAAACCTGTGAGAAACGAACGGAATCACAGCGCACACCTGAAAGCAGCCAGTTCCTCAGACAGCACGGCGTTTTCTCTCTCAGATGCCGTCAGCTGGACCACAAGAGCTGCTTTGTCTCGGGCCAGTTCAGCCCGACTGCGACCGGCCTCCTCTAGAGCCACCTCGTTCCTCTGGCCCTCTCCTCTGGCCAGACTCAACTCTGAACCCAGAGAGGTCACCTCGCCACAAAGCTGCCAACAAAGGCCAGACAGAAAAGAGACAAACCATGAACATTTACTCTCTGTTTTACTGAGAAACACTTGGACTCTTGCGGTGAAAACACTTTGCATGTGACCTCACGGACCTCAATCCGTCATGTACCTGCGTTACTTTCTCCTGCAGCTTGAGTCTGTCGGCTCTGAGACTGTGCAGCTCGGCCTCCATCCCCACCCGGCTCAGCTCGGCGTCCTGCAGTGACTGCTGCAGCGTGATGCGAGCCGACTCCAGCTCCAGCCGGTCCTGCTCCAACCGGACCAGCTCATCCCTGATGGTCAGCTTCTCCTGCTCCGCCTCGCGTTTCTGACCCAGCAGGAGGCCCTTCTCCTCCTCAAGCTCAGAGACAGAAGAAATGTTCGCTTTAAAGTGCCTGAAAACCTATTTATTCAACATGGTAAAGGTGCTAAAGTGTGTGTTTTCTTCAGGTTTCTTTAAATTTAACAATGAGACAATGGCCTCGCTGAACCTGGTTCTGCTGTGAGGGTTCTTCTAGTGAAGACGGAGCTTTTTGTTGCTCACAGAGAATCACTGTGTCTGTTGGGTTTCTCTATAACAGCATTATAAGGTCTTGATGTGCCTGAGATGACTTATGTTGTGAATTGGCTCAATATAAACAAAACTGAATTGAATTACACTTCTTGTGTGTACAACTCCTTCAATTACTGAAAGTAAACACGGTTATTTATACTATTCAAGACGATCATGACATGCAAAATACACAGAGTTCTGGGGAGAGAACAGGGATGGACTGGACTACGGCCAGCTTTGAGTGCAGCTGCTCAGAACAGGTAAAAAAAAAAAAGGATATTTAAAGAAGTCCTGAACTCTTCTTACCTGCAGGATGTAGGTGTTGAGGTCGGCTTTGTCCTGAGCCAGACCCTCATTCATGCTGCCCATCTTGGCCAAAGAGTCTCTGAGAGCTGCATCCTCAGACTGGAGCTTGTTCAGCAGCAGAGACAGTTCGGTGTTGCTGCTCTCAGCCTGCAGGGAAAACAAGACATATTTAATCTGCACAAAACCAACGGGTTTGAAGGGCACGTTATCTTTAAAAAAATAGTTAATGTTGCACCATTTATCAGAGTCAGAAACTGTAAAAATGGAAATAGTTGTTGGATTTTAACCGTGACATGCAGTTAAGTTGGGAAAATTGAGCAAATTAAAGTTTAAAATCGTGATGTTTCATCAAAACTATCTACATTTTAAAGACAAATACAAATCATTTGCACCAGATTCTGCAAAAAAAAAAACAAACATTAAAATTCTGCTCTCCTCGGTGCAAACAAGAAGCCACGAGGCCGACTCCGGTGCAACCAACAGACATAAGTTCAGAGACTATTCAGCTGAACTGCAGGCTGTGTTTACACAGAGCAGAGAGGAGCACAACAAAGAGACTGAGAGGAAAATCAATTATACTTAAGCAATAAAATGAATGCAGCACGGCACATAAAGTGAGCAGAGTCAGCACGGTGGTGGAAGATACCGTCAGCAGGGTGAAATATCTTCATGTGCAAACGTGTGAAACTGTGTAGTTAGTAGAGATTGTTAAATGTGAACAGTCAAACATCTAAAGTATGTAAAGCCACCATTGTTTGCACGTTAATTCCAGTGTCTCAGTTTTATAAAAATGATTCATGGCCTTGTCGCTTTGTTGTTCTGCTCATAAGACATTGTTGAGTTCCAGCTGTGGTTGAGCTGTTTCCAGAGACGTGCAGCGAAAATGAAAGAAGGAGCACAAAAAAACCCAAAAACCCTCAGAACCCCAGAAACAGCTTTGGAGGGGTTCAGAGGGTGAAACATGAACAAGTTTCCTTTCTCTTACCCGAGCCAGCGCTTCAGACAGCTGGACCTTCTCTCGCTCCAGCAGCTGCCGCTCCACCTCCCCCTGCTGGTGAGTCTCCCTCACCACAGACAGCTCGCCCCGCTGGACCGAGGCTCGGCTCTCGCTCTGATCCCACTGCTTCTGTCTGGATCCAGGCCACACGTGTACGTTATCATCAACACTGTGTCATGTAAAGCTCATTGCCATGTGCAGGAAGGGAAGTATAGGCAGAATTATTTAAGCAGATTAAAAAGAATGCGGTTAATGTTCACGCACCTCTTACACAGTAGAAGACACAAACAAGAGCTGGGTTTACTAAGAGGCAGTTCAGTTTCCTTTTAATATGTGTAGTATATAAGACTTAAAAGTGTCCCACAGCATGAAGAAGCTGTGAGTAAATGTCCCATAGGTGGGTATGAATGATGACTGCTGCAGGTAAAACATCGCATTTTATAGCAAAAGGTCGTTTTCTTTGTGCTGATGGAAGCTGCTTTTTCAAAAAGGTTTGAAAGGACACAACAGAGTGTAGAGATATCCACACAAAATGTTAAACATGGTGCGTCAGAGGAGGCAACAAAAGCATCAGATATGTTCACCACCGGCTGAGTTGAAGACAGGAAACATGCAGGAGATCTTATTATCTACTCGGAGCCTACTCAGATCTTCTGAATGGCTCTCTGTGTGCACTGTGCTCTGACTGCTGAGGATTAGCGTCCTCATCACATTCACTTAATCACCATCAATCAGCCTGCTTACATCCTGTGAGTCTCCGCCTTGGCCCGGTCCCTCTCCTGGATGGCAGCCTCCTTCTCCTCCCTCTCGTGATCTCGCTCTCGCTGCACCGACGCCACGTTCAGCTGGAGCTTCTCGCAGTCCATCTGCAGCATGTGGCTGCTGCTCTGCGCTGCCTGAACTGTCTTCTCCAAGTTCACCTTCTCGCTGTTTCAGGAGAACATAGCATTGAGTTAAACACGCTGCAGGATGTGCTGGTTATAAGCATAAGGTGATGTCACTCTGTGCTAACCTGGCCAGCGAGTCTCTCTCCTGCCTCAGACGGTCCTTCTCTCTCTGCGAGGTCTCCTTCTCCCTCTGAGCAGCGTCCCTCTCTCGCTGCAGGGCTTGACTTCGCTGCTCCGCTTCTCTTTTGGCCGAATCCGACTCCGACAGCTGTTTTCGTAGCTGCTGTATCGAGGACTGGGCAGAGAGCAGACGGCCTCGAGCATCCTGCAGATCAGAGGAGGAATGATGATGATGCAGCTCTGGACACACATGAACATACAGTCGTCCTCAAATGTATTCATCCCCTTCCATTAAAGAAAAGGCAAAATTCACAATAGTCACTCAAATAATTAGAAACGAGAAAAGTAATAATAAATAAAAATTTGCTAAATTATAATTTAGTGAAATAAGATGTTGCCTTTGAATTGTGATTGAAAAGAATAATTTAAAAAAATAAATAAATAACTGTCACGGACAAATCAGAGCACTTTGAAATCCAAACACCTGTCAACAGGTGCAGAAGTGTGACTGAGAGTTACAGGAAACACTTGATGGCAGTGATTGGCTCAAAGGGTTGTTCAGCTAAATATTAGTTTAAATATTAGCTTGTTTGGTTGCTTCTTTTAATATTTCTGCTGAACCACAATTCAAAAGCAACGTCATGATTTTCATTACATTTTTATTTATTATTACTTTTGTCAATTTCAACTTATTTCAGTGTCTGAAACTGTTTTTTTCCCTTCTTTAATGGGAGGGTATGACTACATCTGAGGACGACAACAATAACAACAACAACACCACCAGTTGTGAGCTCTGGGGTGTCCCAGAAGCTTTAGAGGCTATTTTAGACCCTGATGTGTTGGTTTTACTGAGTCGCTGATGTAATTCATTTATTCTACCTCGGTAGTTTATGGTTTTAAGAAATTTAAGTTGACTTCAGGATTATTGATTGAATTCATGAGCTGCAGTGTTTTTAACTCACATATTCTCTTCCACTCTGTTTACTTCAGCCGGGACACTCTTTAAAAAGGAGATTTGACTGAAGGTAAAATAAAATAAAACACTTTATCTACATATGTGTAATATTTCAATCAATGTGCAATCATCTCATTCAGTGCGGTCTACCTCGCTGTCTACACACATATTTAGCGTTACTTGGCTAATTTTGGCTTTTCTCCTTCATGTTTACATTTTACTATAGTACACTTATTTGCTTGTATTTTTACTTTTCTGTTGCTCTTGTCTTATAATTGAACTTCTTGTATATTAAGGTTTAAAAAAATAAAAAATGGGCCCTGAGTACTAATTTTGTACCACAAACATGTAAATGTGAACTGGCATGACAATAAAAGTTCGTTGAATGCTTGAAAATGCCAACCATGAATGGAAACATGCCCAGTTCAAGTGAGAACCGTATTTACTTTTCTCTCTCTCAGCAGTTTGTAACAGAGGACGTCCATCAAAATACTCGAGGTTTAGCTGTGAAGATGTGAAGACACTGTGCTGAAGGTAAGCTAGGACTGTAATGTTGCTCTCTGTTCCTTTTGGTTTTAATCTTGCCTGTGATTAAATGAAGCAAAGTTCCATCATTTTTGATTAATCAATGTAAAAATATGTGAATATTTTTATCAAAATTTTCCAAACATCCAAATACAACTGCATCAGATTGAACTGAAGTCTTTTCTTTCCTTGTAATGCAAAGTTACTTTAATCAGACATTAATAAACTAAAAAAAAATAAAAACAAACACATAATTTATCGAGATAAATCTACTGAGAGGGATGAGATGAAAGCAGGGACCTCGTGTGTGTCCCTTTATAAATGACATGTCACCTGCAGCTGGAGCGTCTTGTTGGTGACTGCAGAGCGGAGCGCCGACAGCGCCGCCTCGGGGGGAGGAAGCAGCGAGGAGGAGGCTCGAGTGGGGGAGGACGACCTCCGAGGGGAGGAGTCACGGATCAACGGCAGCAGCGGAGCACCAGAGTTGTCCTGATCCGCTTCGGACGACGACTCTCCATCGGATAAAACTGTCTGTGAAAGGACACTAAAGTGAAGCTCTGACATCCTCATGAGGAGTCCACAGATGTGAGATCGTGTGCCGTCTACCTGAGCGATGTCCCGTAAGGTGTCCAGCAGCGTCTCGGTGTGAACTCTCATCGTCTGCATGTCGGTCTCCTCGCTGCCGCTCTGCTCCTGGATGAATCACATGAACATCTTCAGGAGAAAGATCAACGAAACTGGAAAACGTCACAGCCTTCACGAGCGGCTTCTCACCTCAAGCCTCCTCGTCAACGAGACAATTTCTCTCTCTCTGTCCTCGATCTGGCCTTTCAGCTTCTCCCCCTCTCGCACTAAATCCGACATCCTGAAAGAAAAGTTTGGAAAAATAGTTGTCGAGTGGGAGAACCAGCGGTGCTTCTCTCCATCATTCTGTGGGTTTTTTAACAAAGTGAAACAAAAACCACTGATGGGTTATGAAGCAATCCTTTACTTTTAAACAGAGTTCATGTCGTGGTGGACGGGACTGAATCTGGGCTGTTACTATCAGCTACGATGACCGAAAGAAATCATAATATATCACTGCAATATTTATAGAAAATGTGAAGAAAGCTATGAGTGAAATTCATCTTTGAAGCAGATCAATTACAATCAAAACACGAGTGCAGGGAGGTGGAGACAGACTCGGCAACTAGAATTCTACTGGATGTTACTCCTGAGTGTCACTTAGATGGTTACTTTCACTGGGATTATTTATAATTGACTGTTATTGTAAATGAGAACCAGTTCTCAACTAATTTGCCAGGTGAAATGAAGGTTAAATAAACAAACAAATAAATAAATAACACTACCATATGTGTGATTAACATCATATCAGTATTAAATTTTGTAAGAACCACAATTACCACCAATACTGATGTATCACAACACTCCTGGTCTGAACACCGCAATGCCCATAAGCCACGGCAACTGTTGGGAAAAGCCAATTAGAGGTATGAGTCAGAGCTGTGGGGATTTTAAAACGCTTCATCACAGTTTCTAAACTCAGCCAAATCTCATCTCAATCCCATTGAAGCTGCAAAATGTTTTCTCGGCAAGATGCTCTAAATGTGATTTTCCTCCCACAGATTAGCAGGAAACCATCGAAGACAGATCAACCCTCCGTGATGTCACCCACAGGTTTCCTGCAGGGCGGTGGTGATGCCGCCATCCTTGGCAGTGCCTGACTTCTCCTAACTCTTAGTCTAATCCCAAAATAAGCAAAGAGAGGAAGCGTGAGTGTAGCTGAGGTGGGCCATGCCAGTGTGTCTGGGCCGGTTTATGTGATAATACAGCTCAACGGGACAAAACAATTCACCTCCTGTACTTTTTTCATGAATGAAGAACTTAGCTACAGAGACCCAAACTGCTTCTGTATCAGGCTGTAAACATGTTTACTGCTGCTGTGAAGTTGGACGTTCTAACATGGGAGCCAATGGGGACTGACTCGCTTTTGGTGCCAGCCTCAAGTGGACATTCAAGGAACTGCACTTTTTAGCACTTAAGTTTCTTACTAAAACCCACGGTGTGTCTTTCTATCACTTATTAACTAACACACGTGTTTATCTTTCATCCCAACCTATCGACTAAACGCGACTTCACTTCAGGAACCAGAGTCACATGAGCTCCTCCTGCTTTTGCAGCACAGCCCCTGACCTGACGTTGAGCTCGCTCCTCTCTGCATCTGTTCTGGTCTGAAGGTTCATCATCTCAGCCACTCGGTCTCGGAGCTGCTGCTCCAGCTGAACCCTCAGAGCCTTCTCTCGCTCCAGAGCCAGAGCTGCTCCTCCCTCCCGGTTGTGCAGCGTGGCAGACAGGCCGGTGCAGGACACCTGAGCAGAGTGGGACATCCGGGCCAGCTCGTTACGCATGTCTGACAGGTCCCTGGGATCGGAGGCAGACGGGAGTGGAGGAAAAGCGATACGTGAATGACCAGACTTTATTAAAACATAAACAGCATGCAGTGTGCATCGTTTACCTCTCAGTGGCGCTTTTGATTTCACACACATGCCTCCTGAAGCCGACCACTTGTCGCCACAGCATCAGCAGGCGGCCGTGCTCGCTGCTGAAGTAGCTGTGAAAAGACTGAACAGGAGGACGAGGAAAAACAAAACAGATAAACAATCTTGAATTTTCTTTTTAATCAAAGTGCTTTAATCTTTGAAAAGCATCCCTCTCCCACCTCTTCCTCTCTCCTCCAGTCAGACTCCTTCTGCTCCAGCTCCTCTCTGGCCTTCGTCCAATCAGCAGTGAGCCTGCGGATGTCCTGGCTCAGCGCCTCATTGGCCAAACCGGCCTGCTCCAACTGCTCTCTCAGCATCGCGTTCACCGCAGACAAACTGCTGCTCCTGGAAACACAACGAGAACACACGCAGGGGAAAATAAATCACACGCTTCAGCTGCACCTTAATGTCATGCGGAACTGAGATGTTTAAAAGGAGAAGAAGAGGATAAATCAAACACAAACGGGAGATCGACAATATAATGATAACAATAGTGAACATGATAAAATACTATGTGGATGGATGTCTGCTTTAATATGTTTTGTTTTGTTGGAAGTGGGGGTTCATTTTTCTTTTGCCATATTTGTACCTGGGCTAAATCCCAGACATGGCTCATGAATATCTGCTCAAAATAAAGTTGGCTGCGAGTAAGAAAGCCGAGAAAACAGACATGACTGCAGCTAAACTCTCCAACAAACGGTTGAAATAAACGTTATAAACAATATTATATTTACCTGAAATATGGTAAAGATTTAAAATACTGATAATACTGAATAATTATTAAAAAAAACGCTGTAACATTTAGCTGTTGTCAGTCACTGGAAGACGCTGCTCCTGTTGGTATATGATTTCTGGTTCAAAATATCACTAAGAATAAAGCTGCAAATAAACAAAAATAAAAAAGTTTAAATGTTTGACTTAACCTCAAAAAACTCATCTCTGTGTATCAGTTAAATATCCTCAAATGTATTCCTACCCTCCCATTAAAGAAGGAAAAAAAAAACAGCTGAAATAAGTTGAAATTGACAGAAGTAATAAATAATAAAAACTTCATGAGAATGACAGGTTGACGGGTGTTTGGATTTCACTGCTCATCAGCAAAAGGCTCTAATTTGTCCGGGACAGTTTTGTTTTTGTTTTTTTTAAATTATTCTTTTCAACCACAATTCAAAAGCAACGTCTTATTTCACTAAATTATAATTTAGCAAATTTTTATTTATTATTACTTTTTTCCGTTTCTGGTTATTTAAGTGACTATTATGAATTTTGGCTTTTCTTTAATGGAAGGGGATGAATACAGAAGTTGTTGATTTTTTTTTCATTAAAATACTTTGTTCCTGCTTTAAAATGACTTGTATGTTACTCTCGAGCACGCCAGCTCACCTGTGACTCTGCTCAACACTGTGAAGCTACTAAATGCTCATTAATGGCATTCACTGCTTATTTTACTCACGATGTGTCTTCCAGCATATAAAACAAACACGATATGAACGAGTTAACAAGACTAATAACTTGATTTTCACCAGACAAGGTCTTTAAGAGCGACTACAAATGTGAAAAACAAGATGTAAGAAGAGTTTTGTGGCTCCAGAGGAAGCTGCGTTAAACAGAGAAACTCTCTCGAGTCGGCATCAGGTGACAACAGAGTTTCTAAAAATCTGCTTGTGTGGAGTTATGAAGGATTAAAATAAGCAAGCTGATCAGACCTCTGAAGGCATCATATCTGCTGAAGGCTAGCAGCCCCAGGCTACATTAGCTGCACAAATCTCTGACTGAACTCCTGGTGGTCGAGTTGCATCGTGGGTGATGTAGGCACCAGGAAGAAGAATGTATGTTTTTGTCCATTGTAGGGTGTAACAGAAGTAAAGTGTTAAATCAGTGGCGTACTCCTAAAGGTGGAACAACATGCTCCATGTCAGGTATAGTGACGGGTCACCTCTGCTGTTCTTCCTCCAGACGGATCAGCGCGTCCTCCAGGTTGCTGCTGGCCTCGTCCTGATGACGACCATTTGATGCTTCGCTGTGGTCCTAAAGGAGAAGGTTTCATATTAAAAAGGGAAAACTTAGTGTTGATAAAAAATTACAAACAAATAAACTCCACCTACATCCTGCCTGTGCTTCTCCAAATCCGAGGACTTGTCCTGCAGCATCTGCTCCAGATCTCCACACCTCTTTTTGTACTGGAGCACCTGGAGAAGCAGGAGAGCCGTTACCGCCTGTCACGCCACCACATCTCAGCTAAAGTCACAACAGAACGTTCGTACTTTGGCCTGGAGCTTCTGCACGAGCTGCGCCTGCCTCTGCTGGCCCTCCTGGTACGCCGTGAGTTTGCGCTTGTAGGCGGCTTGTTCCTCGTCCAGCCGCCGCCGCAGATCCACGTTCTGCTGCGCCAGGCTGCGGGACTCTGGCGAGTCGTGGTCCCCGTCTCCCGTCTCAAAACGCAGCGCCTGCTCCAGCTGTGGGTTTAATTACAGGGGAGAGGCGGGAGGTCACGTTTAATTTCACACAAATATGTCTCACAGATGGGTACAGATGCTGCTGAATACCTGTAAACACGGGAGGTAAACTTCCACATGCTTAGTGTTTGGGATTGAAAGTTCAGTCCAGGTTCATTTAGGAGCTGTTCTGGAGCTTCTGATTCAGACTCTGATTGTGCTCAGTGCAGCCCAACAGTGTTCTTCTGTCAGCAGCTTTGAATCACTGCACAGAAGCGAATGTGCTCCACTTAATACAACCGTTATGTTTAATTATAATCATAACAAGCCTCGTTTTTGAGAAGAGATCACATCATTTACGTTACTTAAGAAGTTTTTCACCACTACCAAGCTCAAATCTAAATCACTGCAGGACCTACAAACCTAATTCAGTGTTTTCAGGTTTATAAGGATCTTTAAAGAAGTCTTTTTTATTACAGTCATCATGGTTTGGTATTTCTATGGATAGGCAGTAAGAGTTTGTACCAGATGCTGCTCCGCCTTGTCCCTCTATTAAACAGTTTAGAAATGTAGATTTAACTCAACTCCAACACTACAATATAGTTAAGGCACATTTGAAAACAAGCTCAGAGGACTCCTCGGTAACCAAAAGGTTGATAAACTGAATCACTAACAAGTCTCACTCTGGCTCTGTGTCCTCGTCCTTATTCCAAACCTGTCCCCATTATTATAATTGTTAAATCTCTAATAAAAATATAAAATGTGGAGGGAAAGCATATTAACAAGGTTTTTACAACATAGAGGAAGTTTTAGCTTCACCCAAAGATGTTTTAGCAACACCGAAGGAACCAAACTGGTAGAGTTGAGGATTTAAAAACAAAACAAATTTCTTAACCTCTGGGCTTCATTTACTCAACTCTGATATTTACCAAATGGAAAATACACACATTTCTGTCAAATAAGGTAACGCAGACGATCGTGCTCGCTGTCTGTTCTAAGGCTGGAAAACTGTGATTTAATGGATGCCTGGAGGTCAAAGTGATCACAGGAGAGGAGATTTCAAACAAGAGTGCTTTCAGGCTCGTCTGTCTTGTTGCACTCATACAGTTTCAACTCTCTGAAGATGTCTACAGATGGAGGAGGTGGTGACTGGTGGCCTGGAATCTAAACAGCATCTGAGCTTTAAGCTGGTGTGGAGACCGTTTACATCTCAGTTCATTTGGTAAAAGAATAATGATTTCTGCAGGTTGCTGAATGTGGGACATCACATGCACGAGGAGGAAACATGTCAACAGCTTGGAGGACAGTCCAGTGTCAGTTTATAGTCCTTAAAAGACTTTAATAAAAGGAACTAATTCCTTTGAAGGAAAACACAACTTGAGCAGAGTTGCCTTTTGCTTTTGGATGCAGGCCTGCATAGCTCCTTTACTAATGTTCAACTCAAAGAAACGAGTCGCGGTGGCCACCCACCGCCGCTACATCTCTCCCCTCCACTGAAGCCCCTGTTTACAGTCACCCAGGGTGACAGACGCCATGGCAACATTCCACTTCAGCTCATTCCAGCCCCCATCACCTGGGAGACGGGCAAATCTCAGACAAAGAAAGACCAAGAAAACACAGAAATGGGAAAAAGGGAGCGGGCCAAATCCCCTTTAGGTATTTAGTCTGTCCAGCCAGAGCACCTGCAGAGTTCTGGACACAAGTCTTACATATAAGGAGTGCATTGTGATGGACACTGATCAGTCCAACCTGGACGGGGACTTTATTCCCTGACATACATCCAACCCTCTAGTTTTTGTTCCTATTGCCCTTCTGGTTCACTTCCACCCACGTCCCCATCATTGTCAGCTGTTGCTTTTGTGGTCGTGCTGCCTTACCCTCTCACTAATGGCCCCGTACTTGATGGCGAGCTCGTCCCGGTCGGCTCTGCTGTGTGCCAGCAGGTCCTCCAGCCGGGCCAGCTCTCCCTGCAGCACCCGGTTCTCCTCCTGGAGGGACATGACCGAGGACATGGCTCCGGCTGCTCACGAGAAAAACAATCAGGCACAACAGCAACAAAAAAAAAGAGGACAGAAAGGTGAACATGGAAGAGCAGGAAACTCACAGCTATCGTTGAGGTTCTTTGTGACAATTTCTCGGACTCGGGCTGGTAGGCATGTAGGGGGGGCGTCGGGTGAAGGGCCCCTCACCGTCAACCTCTTCTCCTCCTCTGACAAAACGCTCTCCTCCAACCTCTGGTGCAGAAAACAGAAATTCTGCTTTTCAGTTTTCAGAGAGGGAACCATGACAGACATGAATACACCCACATGACCTCCACAGGCAGACAGTAACACAGTAAATACTAAAGTAAAACATGGTGCTCATGACATTTATGACGTGTCCAAGTGGTGCCACAGCAGAAACACAAGTCCACCACTGCTGCGTAATGGTGTCCACAAACACAGCGAAGCGCATGCACACTGACCACCAGCAAATCACGGAGACGTGAGACGGAGCCAGGCCCGGTGCGCCTCACCTGGATCACGGACTCCAGCTTGTTGGAGTCGGTGTCTGAGGTCTCCGCTGCGCTCATCGCGGCAGATATTTAAAACCCTCCGAGGATTTAGGATTAACTCCGAGGAAATGTCCTCACGAGCTGAGCGCTTCTGCTTTCCAGCGGGTGCGTAAAGAAAAAGGAGGAAAAGTTTGAGACTTGGAGCTGATTCTGGTTTTTTGCTGCTGAGAAGTTTGTCCGCAGTGGAGCAGAGAGTGTCCGTCCTGACGCCTCCTCCGGTGCAGGATTGAGGACAGCAGGATTAGCAGGTTTTAAGACGCGCACCCCTCCACCTCCTCCTCCTCCTCCTCCTCCTCCAGCTCCACCACTGTCACCACACTGGGACTGCACGCAGCCCTCCACACAACGCTGAAATAAAAGCCCTGCCCTCGACATAAAGACAAATTAGAAAAATAAAAAATGTGGAGAAAACCTGCATGTGAGCTGTGGTCAGAGTGAGTCACTGTTCTGAATGGTTCTCTCTGCCTCGGTTTGGGCACTTTGTGGATTTTATCAACTTGAAAATACACCTTTTATCTTTAAACACGTGTTTTGATTTCAGTGAAAGTGAGAAAATTAAAGAAGAGGAAAAAACCGTCTGATGAGAAAATCATGTTTTTATCTTTTATGTTTGAGTAAAATCAGAAAAACTGAACAATCCAAGCTGACCTTCTATTATTTAATTTCTGATGTGGTTTATTGTTTGTTTTATTATTATAACATTTTAAAGCCTTTATATTAAATACTCACACTTGCCTCTAGGGGATGAATAAAGTTATTTAAATTGAATTGAATTTCAATTAAGCTGCAGCAAAGCAAACTTTTAATTTGAGACTAATTAAAGGATTTAAGTAAATCCAACCTGAACCAGAGGTATTAATATTACTTGTAAAATTAAGTCGGATGAACTTAATTCAGTTGTGTGTCACCAACTGAGGTAATTTGTTAACATTTTTGTGAATGAAAACTTAATCTGAACAAATGTAATATCAGGAGCTGAGTCAAATGAATCACACACATGAGGAACAACAACTTAACAAATATACATTAATAAAAATTAAAAAAGACTTTAAATCATGTGAAGTTCACTCAGCTGAGAAAAATGCTGCCTTCATGTGTGAGTTAACGACTCTTCAAATGATTCATTAACTCAAATTCATCTTTTGAATCCTGAAACTAACTTTTAGGAAATTAATTAATTTGAGAGTTTAATAATAGTTAAATCTTCTAGTCACACATGGTTGCAGACAGACCTGCTTTCTTTGTACTTTTTCCAGTTTCCTCTTCATTTATCAGGAGAATCTACAGACGCTGTTAATTCGTTTTAATTGACCATTTAAGTCAAAATGCCTTCTAGGTAATGAACACTCATGTTTTCCAGTGGTCTGACACCAAAGTTCAATTAACTACTGATACTTTTTTGTACAGTGGACCATTACAGTAAATATATTCAAATGAAAGTAAAAGTCCTGCATGAAAAATACGAGTAAGTAAAAGAGCCCAGCAGCAAAATGTAGTTAAAGTACTGCAGTAACAGTACCTGGTCCCTCTGACTGGTACATTATTACAGTAAACTGTAGTAGAAATGTTAGACACATACAGAAGCTATTTTATTTTATTTTTTATTTAACAGCTTAACGAAATAACGTGGAGCTGATGGGCCGAGGACACAAGTTATATCTTTACAATAACGTTATTATCATTAATATTTAAATCCTGTTCTAATGTCTTTCCTCGGTTTACTCTGTATATGACGTCATTAGATCAGTAATTATGAACATTAGCGCTTCATCACAAGTCACCGCCCGTCCTTCACCCTCTTTCTTTGTTTAGCTGAACCTTTTAGGAACTCAACCGGCTCCCGTCGTTTGAGGCTCACCAGAGATGAAAAAAACTACAAATATGGACGCCGGACACTTTGTTGTGCTTCATTTCTGCTGCTCGGTAGAATTCTTATATATAAATCTAAAAAATAAATGAAAGGTTAATTAAGTTTGCTGCCACCAACTTATTGTCGTTTACTCTTCAACTGACAGTTTTAATCAAGCAGAAGTGATTTTCATATCCACAATCCAACCGACATGTTTCACCCGATCTCGAGGAACCGAGTTGAAGACGACTGTTGGGTTAAAAATCTATTTTTAATAACGATTCCAGCTCCCCGTGACCCTTGCAGGATGAAGCGGTGCATAGATACTGAACAGATGGATGATGGAAAAACATTCCTTTGTTGTTCTTTAGAAGTTCCTTCCTCTCCTCCTTCACTTGAAGGTAGTGCTCTACAGTTTTCCTCCTCACCAGTTCAAGTTCTTTGGTCTTGACTTCAAGAACTTTCCTGTTTTTCTGTCGGTTGCTTCTCCTGCTGCTCTTCTTCTTTCTTGTCCTCCAGCATGTTTTTCTTCTTTAAATTCTCTCCTCGTGAAGTTTCTTCCTCGCAGTTCCTCCAAGATGCCTTCCTTCTTCTCCTCGTTCACGTTCAGGTCTATCATCTTCCTCCTCATCATCTGCAGCTTGTTCCTCTGCTCCTCCAGCACCTTCACTCTCATTATTGTTCTTCTCTTTCTGCAGTCCTTGGTTCCCCTGCAGAGCGTTTGTTTTCCTCCATCCAGGATTCATCCTTTGGGAGGTTTCCAGCTTCACTGAGAGCGACTCTGGTTCTCCTGCTGGAGGTTCAGGATCTCCAGCTGCTCCATGACGTCTGACCACATCATGGACGTGTTGTCGCTCTGGATGGAGACTTCGTAGGACTTGAGGGAAAAAAGCCCAACAGACCTGAACCAGCAGATGTTGGTTCCGTAGAGGCTGGCGGCTTTCTGTAGCACCGTGTTGCTCTGAAGGGGTCTGAAGATGTTTGTTATCTGCCAGGTTCTTGTGTCAAACAGTGTCCAGTATTTATATCGTCCATGAAGACGTGTCAGCACACAGCAGAGAGTCAACATCTGTGAGTCTGACATTCAGTTTCACTTTGAGAGCAGCAGATGAACGCTGGCTTCATCTCTCACTGAATGGAAGTAATGGCACCAGTAGAAGACGCACCTCAACTAAAACTATTCATATTGCTCAGAGAAAATTCTGCAATTAATTTTTTTTAACATGAGAGTGAAGAAGGACGGAGGCATCACCAGCACAGCGTCCTCACATTTACTTCAGATCGAGCTAAAAGGTTGCATTTGCAGTAAACAGCAGCTTTTAGAACTTTTAGAAACAGAAAACAAAACTCAAATATTAGGAGTCATGTCTCAAAAACACGAGTTGTGTTGGCTTCATCGTCTTATATTAGTAAAGTAGAGCAACTAGGGAGGAAAGATATGGTGCCTACAGCTTCACATCGACCAGTTCAGGTTAGAATCTCTTCATGTGCAGCCTCTGGTCAGCCGACCGGTAGCACAGTAAACACAACTTTATTCCTTTTCTAGGGGTTAAATGTCTGTTTCAGTGCTTCAGAACAACGGTTGTCGTGTTTGTTTGTCTGGAGACGTGACACGAGCGTGAACCACGAAGGGTTTGTGCTGCCGTTTGAGCCGTCATAGTTACAGACAAAAGGATCACTGTGTCGACACAAACTCCAGAACCCGGCCTCAGCGCACACTCCTGTGTTTGTGAGGACCTTTGCTGGTATTACATATGGGGAATATGTAATTACAGCCCTTAACTGTAGAACCAAAGCGAGTTTTTGGAATAATAATGTCTGTATTTTTTTTCTTTTTTTAAAAAAAAAAAAATTTCAATAACATCAGAGCTGTAAAATATGCAAAATCAAAACTAAAAAAAAAAAAGTGAAATTACATAAAAAATAAAATTAAGTAAAATAAAAGTCATATTTTGACTATTTCAAAATGTTCTAAAAAAATTAATAAATCCCACAATTTTAGTGGAATTTGTTTTTGTTGTTTTTTTTTTTGCATTTCTGTTCCAACAAAATAAATAAACATACTTTTTAAAAAATGATTTAAATAACATCAGGTCTGTAAAATATGCAAAATTCTTTTTTTTTAAAAAGTGAAATTACATAAAAACAAATTAACTAAAATAAAAGTCATATTTTGTAAATTTCAATTTTTTTTTAAATTCCACAATTTTAGTGGATTTTTGTTTTTGGGTTTTTTTTTTTCATTTCTATTCCAACAAAACAAATAAATATACTTTTTCTTTTTTTAATGATTTCAATAACATCAGGGCTGAAAAAAATATGCAAAATTAAAATTCTTTTAAAAAGTGAAATTCCATAAAAAATAAAATTAAGTAAAATAAAAGTAATGTTTTGTAAAATTTCTAAATTTCCTTTTTTTTAAAAAAATCCCACAATTTTAGTGGATTTTTTTTTTTTTTTTTTGCATTTCTGTTCCAACAAAATAAATAAATATTCTTTTTTTTAGCTGGGAGATTTTTTACTGCGGTCTGTTGCAAACAAGTGTGTTCCTTTACATCTAGAGGAGATGGTTTTTAGGTTGGAGCATCCCAGTAGCACCACGATGCTTCACTTCTGCTCCCATCTTTTGGATGTTGCACTTGTCCATGTTGTAGTTTAGATTTTTTTGAGTGAAATGTTCAGAACAATGAAATAACACTACGAAAAAGTTAATTACCCAGTAAAGCAGTTTTAACTTGTTGATTAGTGACAAACAGTAAAATACTGGTGCTATTGTTGTGACCAGAGCATCTTCCACTTGTCCCCAGAAATGAAAAATATCTAAAGGAGCTTTTGCATCCAGAATTATATCAACTGGCCACATGACTCCTGTGACTGGTCAACAGCTGCTGTTGGATTCAGCCACAGTTCCTGTAATCTGTGGCTCCCCCAGCTGGTCTGATAGCAGAAGACTGGCAGTGATTTCAGAAAGCCTTCACACCTTTTTAACTCCACATTCCCTCATCTTTCATCTTCAACCAGTCCAACCAGAGCCCTGCTTGCTGACTTCTCCCTGCAGACTTTTACAGTCACTGATGCAGCAGTTTGACCTCCAGCAGGACAAACAAACAACACGAGCTGCTTCCTCTTCATCACTTCTGAAAAACCGTTTCTGCACTAAAGGGAACCTGCTGGACAACGTGTTGGATTCATCACCAACATCCTCTTTGTGCTGAAACACTGAGACACGCCCAAGTTTTTAAAAGTCTGAGGAGTTGGAGGAAGAGGAGGAGGAGGAGGAGGAGGAGGAGGAGGGTTGTAGGTTAAAGCGGGCAGCATCCACAACTGGTGATGAGTTAACGCTCCAGTCTGCAGCTTTACTCAACAGTCACAACAACAGTCTGAATGTAGAAACGCGGTTCGTGAGGGCATGATGTGTTGTTTGGTGCAGCTTTGAAAACCTCCACTTCCTGTCTGGTTGTGAAGCTCACCTCGGTCCGTCGGAGTTCTGATCCCCGGTCCGCCGTCCCTCCATTCCTCTGAGCGTCTGTCTGGAGCGTAAAAGCAGAAATCAATCCATCCACAGCGGGCAGAAGAAGACCATCAGCTGTTCGCTCACTCCGCTGCCTCGTTCCTAAATCTTCTCCATGCTTTTTCCGGGGAGGGACTTCCAGCGGTCATGATGCTCTGCTGTCATCATGTGATCGAGGCTCCTCTCGGCCCACGTTACAGACCGAACGCGGCGATTAGCCCTGGTTCTGTTTGTTTGGGTTT